TACATATTTTGCACTGACTTGGAGGAAAAACTAGATGAACTTACCGGCTGAGCAGAATCCGTCCCTTGAACTCTCTTGCTCCTCCTGTTTCCCCCACAGGTGTTAATATTTGTGTCACTGCTCACAGGTGTTCCACAGTGCCAGTAGAATATATGTTGTGGAAAGCAGGGTTCCACAACAGACAGTAAAAATCTGCCTATGAGCAAGAGTTGTTCAAACTAAACGGGCAGTTGCAGGATGTGAGGTAGGACAGGCTGGTTCCAGGGATCCCCAGAAACAAAACTACTTGTACCAGCCCTGAGTTTGGCTCCAGTTCTTTAAGAAGTACTCGTCTCCTCCAGCGGGAGCCTTGCACAAGTGCAGTTTGAATGGAGCAGCATTCAAAGGAAGAGTGGAAATATACAATTTAGTTGTGACAGGTTTTGCACTCCACATCTATTGCGTTTACAGGATGTCAGCTATATGCACGATAGAAGAAGCATTTGCATTTAAGCTTATTTAATTCAGAAATATTTGTGGACCACTATCCTTGCATTCTGTTACAAAGGATTATCATAATATCATTCCTTCCTGCTTACCCACAGCAGACCTCCTCTGATTCCTTAGATTTAAATAAGCTTCAAGTCTTGCTCTCTGTATTTTGCTATTAATTATTTCTGTTATGTAAACACCCAAAGGTCTCAGTCAGAATTTCAGCTCCCACTGCTCTGGGAGTTCACAAGATAGTTCATATTGACATTCCCTGTCCCGGAGGGTATCTGGGCAGTCATGTGTCCATCATTGCAATCCACCACTGGCAACATTCATAATATCAAGAAGAATATTTAAATAACAGTTTTCTGCTGTGATTAGCCTGTAGTCATCATACTTTTCCATGACCTCTGTATCCCTGTATATCATTTACTCTTCTGTCTTTGCCACATAAACCAATGTCACCCTTTTACAGCAAACAGCTGAATTACACAGTTGTGCCTTCCAAAACCACACCAAACGAGCCCAGGTGGCTACATTCAGTGGAATACAGATCAGTTCTTGTCATTGTGATCAAAGGAAGCAAAGGGTCAAATAAGCAATTGAATAAATTAAGGAGAAGATATTTAGATTACTTTTATAAATTTGGCAGACTGACTACAACTAATAATCTCAACATACCAAAAAATCCCAAAACCCAGAAAAATAGTATTAAAAATTATTGTTATAGATTGACTCATTTACAATTTCATATGACTTAATTCTATTTTTTAATTCGAAGAACTTAAGCTACAGAATATAATGGCACTGTGTTGTAATCTTAAAAATATTCTGGGAACTTGTGTCTTAACACAGGTTTTCTCTTTGTTTTCTTTGGTTTGGTTTTTTTTTTAATCTTCTTAAGTTTAAACAAGGTAGTTTGGTGGGGGTTTTTTGTGTGTTCAATTTCAGCTTTATAGGAAAAAAATCAGATGGATCTACAAAGTAATAAAATACTTTGGAGTTACCTTAAGTTGTTTATTCTGTCTTCATGTAGCTTGTTACAAGAAACCAATTAACTCCAGCTCATCATATAGGAAACATTTTTAGTATAATTATTAGAATTAATACCAGGATAATTCTGGTATTATACTAGCTAGAATGATGTGCACCACTAAATATGTGAAGAATTGTATCTTTATGGGTATAGATACAGCCTAGTATTATACTACATGAAACAGAATGCTATGGTAAGCAGATGTTCCCGGGATAAAGTCTATCTGATGTGCAAAAACTTGATACACATCCATTAATTTTGTCACAATACTATTGTTTAGCACAGCAAAGATAACTTAAACTATTACCCAAGAACTTCACGCAACTAAAAGTTCACTGGTTTATTTCTCTTACCAAGAGTAACAGTCTGAAACATTTTACATTAATTTACAATCATGAACAAGATCCTTATGCTTATCTCATGTAGGTGACATTAAGTCACCCAGTTAACGCTAATTATTATTTCAGAAAGTAAATCTTGTTTTATAAGGTTAAACATTTTTTGAATCATTTGTTGCCAAAACACAACAGTCTACAACCACACAGAAAGTAGAAATTAAAATTTCTACAGAGCCACTACCATCACTATGAAGATACAATGCCAAGTGTTTACAACATTCTGTAAGTTATCACTTCTCCCAGCATTTAAGAGAGCAAAAATTCCCTCTTCACTTTTTACTGTACACACAGGAACTACAGTAAAAGAGGAAATTTTGATTCACAATGTTAGATCAAGGGTAACAGAAGTGCTTCTGAGTCATTTACTTTTAACGTAGAAAATGAACAGGGCCGTGGAAAAATAAGAACTCGCCTCGAAAAAAGGGCAGGTTTTCCCCTCGGCCTCGCACCGTACACCAGACACATACACTCCTCTCCTTCCACAGACAGCAGCAAAAACGGTCTGTGCTCATGGGGCATCAGAGAAGCAAAGATGAGATCCACTGTACAGACCTGAGGTGAGATGTGGGTCCCAGGCAACCATGCAGAGCTGGAACTGTGGGACTGCAAGAGGAGGTGGAGTGCGATGAACCCAGAGCTCGAGTCAGTAACTCATGCACAGAGCAAGAAAGCCCTATTTCACCAATTAGAAACTTTTGAAGGTCTCACAGCTTTGGTTATTCTCAAACCCTTGTTGAAACCAATCACTGATTCGTGTGTCACTCAGCAACAGACAACAGAACCGTTCAGATCTGTAGCCTTCCTGGGAGGGAACACAGCAAGAACTGTGCTGCTTCCTTTGGGAGCGAGCACACAGACACCACAGCAAAGCCACTCCGCTGGGCTTGGCCCAAAGCTGGCACACCATGGTCACTCCCAGTGCCCCACTACCAGAGCAGAACTGCAGCATCTCAGAGTGCTCCACTGCCACACAGAGATGGCTGGTGGGTCACTGGGACTCACTGACACACTGCATCTGGTGTGGGAAGCCTCCAACAGCAGTGGGGTAAGGGCTGTGCAGCCAGAGGGAAACTCTTGAAATACTTTCCTGGGATCCCCCCATGACAGTACACTTCCTCACAGATGCAGCAAAGTCTTCTCACCACCCTTCTGCCTGTTTTGGCATTCCTCAGCCACTCCTCTCACCAATCACACTGCCTCATACCTTCTTCCAGAAAACCCCTGTCCTCCCTCCCCCCAGAGGCAGTAGGACGCTGTTCAGGACTGATTCTCCCCCTGCCCAAGCCCATTTCCTTCTTTTGCTGCAGGCCTGGCAGCCCTGTTTCTGGAATGGACATCCACACCTTGCCACGACATCCACCAGCAGCAGCTGCAGCCAGTTAGGACACAGCTCTCCCTCTCTTGGTAGCAGGACAAATCATTTTCCTCCTCTGCCCAGACCACGGCAATTCCTCCCCAGCAGCAGCAAGAGGAAGACAGTGTGCCATCCTGAGAGACTGCTCCCCAGCTGTGGCCAAAGCCACGGCCCCTTCCCATCACACCATGGCCAAGACATGTCCTTACCACACACAGGCTGCATTGCCTCACGCTGCAGAGCAGGGCTGCCATGGCACGGCAGATCAGCCAGGCTGCATTTGGGAATACCCATTTGCTCCCAGCAGTGCAGGGAAGAGATTCAGACCCCGGCTCTTGATGAGGGTTCCCTCTGTCACACTGTGGACGTGGTATTATTCACATACAACAGTTAAATACCACATACCAATGCAACGAAACCCAGGAGATCTGACTCCACACCCTAGGAAAGGGAGCATTTGTCCTGGCTACATTGTGAAGTGCCGGTACCTTTCCTAAGGCGGCACAGAGAGGGAGCTTGGTGTCCACTGCACCCCTTGGCACGGCCAGTGACCAAAAGACAGAAGTCATAAGTCCACTTGCAAATGTGTGGGACTGCAGCCAGCTTCCTTCAAAGCAGAAGGCCCCCAAGGTACATTATTCTGAGGGAATGGATTGCACAGCCAGAGGACATGTAAGTGTGGACAGAAAAGCACTGAGACAACATTTTGATCAATACAGTTCTCCTAACAGGCCCTCTCAGAATAGCCTTCTCTCACACAGGAAACAGAGCCTGAGGAAAAGGACACAGAGCTCAGGAATCTTGAACAGCATTTTGCCATAGACGACTCCTGCGGCCACAGTCTGGCTGAGTCATTGTATCTCTCCTTCTCTCTAGCCAGACAGGGAAAGCAGCCCTTCTCTGCTAAACATGGCCATTGCAAGGTGCTCAGATAAAATGAGGAATATGAGGATTGAGGCTCATACCTTATCCAGGTTTAAACAGTGATGTACAAAAGCACAATCTATATAAAGCTTGCATTTAAAATCAGGCTTCTGTGTTCAACTGCAGGTGCTCAGAGAACAGAGGTTTACACTACTTAGAAGATGCCTTGTGCTGTCCCAGACCTATGCACAGGGACAGCACTGGGATTTAGCAAAAAACCTGATCTGTTTTAACAGTTGCAGACAGCCCAAAATGGAAGTGTTCAGTGGGTCAGGGCCTGTTTTCCGATGCTGTGGTGCCCTTGGTTTATTCTGGTATCACTCCATTTAAACAAACAGGTCATTAGCATGGACACAGTGTGAGCCAGACCCCAAACATTCAAGCTAATATTCAACCCTTTGCTTATTCCTCCATATGCTTCATACAACACATAGTTCAAATAAAAATTACACCTTGTGCAATTCTTGGACTCACTGGTTGGCTCTGAATTTCCTGCGTAGCAAAAGTTAAGAGAGACATCAATCCTGTTCTCACTTTCAGCAAGACCAAAGGATGACTCAGCTTTGTTGAGGTAAAATGCATTAATGGCAGCCAAGGGTTCATCCCAAACCACACTTGTCTGTCCTCATTAGCTTTTAGAGTCACTGATGAAGCAACAGGGCAGAGCTCTACAAACTTCTGCTTGGTGCCATTCAGTTACAGAAATTATGGGCAATTATGGCCTCTGTGAGGCCCATTAGGGATTAGAAAGGAATTGCATATGCCAGAAAGCCAAACTCTGCCCTGGCTTCCCTGGAGTGTCAAGAAAGCACCCCCACCTACCACAGCCCCTCTGTGCATGCCCAGGGCTGGTTTAGCTTTTAAGTACAGTGCCAACTATTTGTAAGGCCTCAAAAATCTGGAAACTTTTGAGCGCAGCAGCCGAATGAAGGATCTTGGGAACATCTCTCTTGACTCTTGGGCCGTGTACTTGAAGTAGTTCTGTGGATGTGCCAACACGTCAAACAATGCTTTTATCAGCTTCTTGTCCTAGAAAAAGGAAAGCAGTATTACAGTGATTCCAGAGAGGAGTTAAGGTCAGTATTACCAAAGTTTAATGACTGTTTAACTCATAAAAGATTATGGGCATTTTACTTTTCAAGTACTAAGGCTTGGAAACTAGTGGAGCAAGGCTGACATTCAGGCCCCAGTGACATCAGTGGAGTTTCACATTAGCAGCACCAGGATTTCTTCCCTCCTCATACTTCCAAGAATTGCCATGGTTCCATTCATGTCTGCTCCACCACTTTGCCTTACCAGCACCAAGTGCTTCCCCAAGAAATTAAATGCCATGTTCCTCAGTCTGCTCCACCACTTCCTTCCAGCACAGTCTACTGAAAGGGCTATCATTGCCACAGATTTCCCTAGTAGGTCTGATCCACCTTTAATCCCCCTGGGCAAAGGGTCTCATATCCATTGCTCTGCACAATCAGGATCTGCTGATTGACCCCATTTCCCTGGAGCATACAAATCTAATGCACCAAGGAACAGACCTGATCAGAGCAGGAAGCAAACTCACTCTCACCAAATAACATCATTTTCAATCAAAACCAATATGCTTAGTGGAAGGAATGTACCTTAAGTATTTCTTGATGATTTTCAGATGCATAAAGTCTTCCATCCCGAACAATGTCTTCTATTAGTTCTTGGTAATCCTCTATGGGGAATGCACAAGAGAGTAATTTGCAGGTTCACTTCACTTACATACTCAATACTTCCCTTGGTTCCTCTGCCCCCAGAAGAACCAGTAGTACTTGGCCCTCATATTAGCAGTCAGAAATTATTCCAAATGCTTTTCTGTAAAGAAACTACAAATACTGTTTACAATGAGAACAGTGTACCATGCTGAGCTGCCCAGCATCAATCTGTCATAAGCAAAAGAAATCATAAAGCACTTAAGAATGTAGTGCACACTGTAACCACCAACTGCACTGCAGAAACGCATCTGTAAAAACCCACAACCTGCTATTGACTTTTTTCCACAGGAAAAGGGATAAAAAAAGGAGGTAGGGGAAGCTTTCCCCTGGAAAATTAAGTATCCACTGTTGATGAAACTCTGCAGACTGCAGCAAAGATGACTCCTCCATCATTAATCCAATGTGAACAGAACATACAATATCACTTCACTTATGCTGAAGTTTCACTTCTGATGATTCTGGCAAAGACAAGGTGAAAATCTTTCCCCTCAAGCTTTTTTTCAATATAGGTATTTTGCTATCTGATCACAAACGGTACCAGCAACACGATAAACCAGAGGCACTTGGGCTCTGCCTACTTCCTAACTGGGGGCACTATCGCCACCTGAAGCAACCCAGAACTGGGAAGGCACAAAAGTGCATAAAACTTAGATTCTAGTTCTGAGCTCTGCAATTTGCAGGCCAGAGCCCAAAACCCCAGATCTTTCTTTAGGTCTATGGAAGGCTGGAAATACAGTGGCACTTAAGACTACAGTGCAATGCAGAATTTCTTTAACTAGCTTTAAATGAAAACAGCTACTGGGAGCAACTCACAGTGACACTGCTGAGAGCACTGGGCTACCCTGCTGCTTGGGGAGTGGAGTTCTGCACTGCTGCAGCTGCTCTGGTCCACGTAGGCTCAGCTGCTCACACCCACTTACCATCATACGTTACATAAGGAACTTGGAATCCTTTGGCACTGTTCCCTTCATTTGACTTGAACTGGATCCACAATTTCTTAGACCTAGAAGTGAAAGCTATAGGGCGTTCGTAGGTTTGACAGGTCTCGTACGTGGTCACTGAGTTGGAAGAAGCTTTCAAAGGAAACACACAATAGGCAGTTATCTGACAGTGCTTCACACTAGCAAACAATTAGAAAATAGGTTACACTACCATGACAAAAATGCTTGCTGGTGGTAAGAAAAGTCCTCAAAATGTGGCAGGCCATCAGTGGATGGCAGGCCATCAATGAGTGACTTCTTGGTCAAGGAATATTTTCCCTTTTCCTAAAAGAAACAGCCTACTGTTTGAAGGGCATGACTACACTAGAAACTGAAGCTGTTTATTCACACATCAGGCACCTTCAGGGGATTAGCAAGCATCTCCTCTTTCCTAATCTAGTCTAGAACTAGGCTCAGCATAGTACATGGTTAGTTAGCTTGAACCATCTACCCATTCTTAACAACTTCTCAGAGTTCACTGACACATCATAGCCTTGCACCCTTGTTTCACCCAAACCTATGGAGCAGCATTATCAAACAGGACTTCTCAATTTGCCATTTAAAGAAATTTCAACCGTTAAGAAGAGGCCAGCCAGGTTACATTTAGTTTATGTAAACAGAAATGCATGTGAGAAAACAATGTTGCCTGTGTTGTAGATATTTCAGACTTACAACTCTTTCTCATCACCAGGTAATCTCCACACTCATCTTCTATTGGTAGAAATATTTCTGGAACCACAATCAGAATACGGCGCTTTGGCGGTGGGTTAATGTTCCAAGTGCACTCAGTGTTTGCAGGATAGTCCCCAGGATAGTTTGGTGATTCAATATATCCAGTGTAATCTCCCAGCTCACCTCCACACTGCCTGTCTGAAAAAGCAACATGGTATGCAAGACAAGGAAAAGTGAGAGCATCCCACAGCTCCTCTGCAGTCACTGTCAGGAACAGTACACGGGTGACAGACAGGCACACTTTTCTGTTTGCAGCTGGAGCAGGTACAGTTGTCTTTGCCAGCTTCTCTTCACACTGCTGCCTGCTTCTGCCTGACTGTTTTAATCAATGTTGAGATATAAAAACACAGATTAGTCCCTGTTAATACAGCAGGTGCTATGGACAAAGCCATAGCCAAGCAGCAAGGCAAGGCAGTTGTAAGAGGGTACAGCAGTGGTAAAACAAGGATGCTCCACTTGCTTGTACCGGGCAGAACTTTTATACAAGTACCAGCTGAGGTCAAACTGGAGCCTGACATGCTCTGTTCAGTCACCATATCTGCAGCAGCACAGAAGAGGGAGTACAGCAGGCCCTTTCTCTGCACAGATCAGCATTGCTGGCAGTAACAGAGGGTAAACCCCACTGCAGATTGCTTTGCCAGTGCTCCCCAACTCTGTGCAGCAACAAGGGTTTGGGCACTACAGCCCTGTAAGAGTGATGTGTGGCTGTGACATGGACAGGGAACAGATTCTATAAGTGAGAGACATGCAGTCTCCAGAAAAACATTTCTGTGTAGGTATGTGTGCATATGTCTGTGTGTATATAAGTGTCTCCAGAGGTGGTTCTGAGCAGTCACCTCTCTGCCCTCTATTTTCCCTCTTTAATTTACCCTCAGCTTCCCACACTACAGCTACCATAAATCTAGAACAGTGGTTCTATTTGTAGTTGCCTTTTTCAAAGGCTGTTATTAAGAAGAAATGGTTACTAGAGCTGTTAAGTTTTGTGAGCCCGCTCCTTATTCCTTTTAATAGGAGGGGGAAAAAAATCAGGGTACCAAGAACACAAACTCTGTTATATGAGGGGAGAAAAGATTTAATAGCGAGATCCTAAGCAATCCAGCACCAGCAGGCAAGACACAAGCATCACTTACCATACAAGAATGATGGAATCAGTCTGCGGAAATGGTCTCTCATAGACCTCAGTAAGTCATGTAGGGTGAAATGCAGGCAGGTAGCAAAAGAGGAGCAACACCTCTGCCTTCTCTCCAAGCTCCCTAGAGCAACGCTAAGTTCTGCCCTTAGGGCCACTCTGAACATTAATGGTAAGAGATCATCAAAACCATCTTCCTATACTTACTTTTGCACTGTGTTATGTTTGTTGACCCATCAAAATCAGTAGTGGTGTTTCCAGGGCATGCAATGCAGTAATTTTGTCCAAACTCAGGCTGGTATGTCCCAACTGCGCAGCGAATACACCGATGAGTTGTGGTATTATAAAAATGGCCAGGTGAACACTGAACTGGACAGTAATTAAATATGCATCACGGTTAAAAGAGTGGCAGTAGCATAAAATATGACTTTATAGATTTATATATGACCTAGTACAATTTCAGCAACTGAAATGCCATATTCATAAACAATGAGGGTAACAAAGCAGAGGTAATTGAACAAATTTCAGTTTATCAGCTCATTTTGTGCAAGTTTAGAATTCCCAAATGCAACACAATAGAGTAGTTCTGTGTGAAAGCAGCAATAAAAGACATGGGGGAGTGAATATAACCACCATGATTTTGTAAGAAGGACACCAAGTAGAATAGCGTGTTACCAAATGGTTTAGCCACAGGCATTTGACTTGGAAGACAGACTATCAGTAGAAAATACTAACTAAACCTTTCTTCCCTGCCTGCTCATGCCAGGCAGCATGGGCACTGCTGCTGCATCTTGGACAGCCCTGAGAGCAGCTCAGCCCAAGCAGAGGTGAGAGATGCTGGTCCTCTACAAGGGGCACGTTGTATCAATATTAGTGACTAAATTGGTATATTGTCACCTTCTCTTATGATCACACCTTGTCCTTCAATAACAGACCATGACTCAGGGTACAGTCACTTCCACCAGCTCTGCTGCTGCTTCATTTCATCACATCACAAAGTCATCATGTTAGCAAGACACATGAGCTGTACCCCTCACAGGGCTTGCTGAGAGCACCTCCTGCATCACCAAAGCGAGGCCCCATTCCAACACACCAGCTCTTCCATAAACACAACAGATTTTATGGAAGTTTTAGATGAGAGATAGACAGACGTAGGGGGGAAATACTTTCTAGCAGACTTGCAAATTTTTTCCTAGTTCCCTGCATGCAGACAGGAAGATTTCCTCCTCTTACTGAAATCTGAGAATACAGGACTCTAAACACCTTTGTTTACATCTCTAATTTGCAGATTTTGATTTGATTTTGCCTAGCTATTCTGCACCTATGCCCATCATCAACTGTATTGAAACTTAAAGCAGTCAGGAGCATCAGCCATATGTTATCTTTGCTCTTAATTCCTTCACTACCTTTCTTCTTTTTTCTCATGGGGTTCAAAAAAAAAAATTTTCCTATTCCTTTTACCTCATTTGGCAAGTTTATCTCTCTCAGCTCAACATCAAAATAATTTACTATCTACTATCAAATGTAGTTTTCTGTGCTGCACACTCCCTTTTTTCTATTCTTTTTAAGCTCTGCTTACTCCTAAATAATTCTAGTCTTGTTGAGCTTTACAAGCTAGCTCAGCCTGGAATCCTTCCCTACGTGCTGCCCCAATCCAAATGCTTCAGATACAAGTTCCAAATAGTTCTTGCATCTGTGATTCTGTGTCTCATGTGGCCTCTTCCACATGCAAATCCCTGAGCTCTTCATTCCAGTTAATAGAAAAAATTCCTTTAATCTCCACTCCAATTTGAAAACTGAACCTCATTTATAGGCTTGATTTTGTTTATGTTAAAATAAAACTGAAATCACTTCCTCTTATCTTGATCCAAAGTTTTTAATGTGTTCTTTTAGTACTTCAATTTTTCAGAATTAAGTATGAAACAACTCCGTTAGTGGATTTAGTGATTCTTCACTGAAGAAATCTTAGATATCACACTATTACCAGTAACATTAATTCTTTAACAATACTGCAAAATTCTTATAATATGTTGCAATTCTCAATAGTAAACATATCTTAACTGACACTAGACAGATCTCTTAATGCAAACCACTACCAAATGTTTGCATCAGGACCTTATTTCCATACCTTATTTTCACTCTGTAGCAGTGGATTTTCTAATAAGACTTTTTCCTCAGGTGATTTTTATAAGCAATTTTCTTTTACCCATTCTTTAGGACATTGAGCAAACCGTTATACTGATTAACATTTCATCTCTCTCCACAGACACATATATTTATCATCATTTTCAAAGACAATTTTATAGCTGCCTTTCAGCCTTTTAAATTTTAGATACTAAAGATGCTAACAAAATTCCATCATTTTTAAAGATATGATCCCCATTTGATTTTCAGTCCTGTGATAAAACTTTGGGAGCTGATCGCATGTCAGCTCCACTGTGATCAAATTTAGAGGGCTGTCTGAGGTGCCACAGGGTTAAGCTGAATGCTCATTTTTTAGTTTTAGCCCAAGGAACACAAGCCAGTTTCCCATTATAAACATGAAGAAAATATTTTCTTCCTTATCCACCACGACTGAAATTGCCTCCTTTACATTTTCGTGTTGCTGCTGCACTTAAAACCCAAAAAGTCTCGAAACTTTTTCTTCTTTTTGTTCCTTTATATGACTCTTCACAGATCAACAGCTTCACTGATCAGCTTAGGTAGATCTCCCAACCCCTACTAAGGTCTTGTGTAAAAATCAGTTACAGAAAGAACTGAGGCTTTACTGAGTTTCCTTGAAGCCAGGCCAGGCCAACCAGCTCTGAGACTGATGGAAGGACTGATCCTTGAAAGGAGAAAGACTCTTCTCTTAATGCCCTGCTTGAAGCATTGCCAGTTACTTTTGCCTCAGAGTAACACAGTTCATCAAATAAATCTCGACCTTACCTTTGGCCTCACAGTCCTGAAACAAAGATGCACTGCTATGTCTTGTTGTCAGACCTCCTCCGCAGGGAAAGCAGGATACTCTCCCAGCTTCAGGCTGGTATGTCCCAAGGGGGCACGGCAGACACGGTTTGAAGCCATCAGGAGAATGTTCACCTGGGGAACACTGATCTAGAAGAGGAAGGACACACTTGCTTCAACTCGTACATTATAGATGAAGGCATGTTACTGAGCCTGCACAGGACCTGAAACCTCACGGTGAAACTGCTCTCCTCCTTCCTTGGGAAGTGGGAACCAGGGTTTCAGAACTGAACACAAGCAACAGCGTTAACAGAACTCAATACATCCAATGTACAGCGTCAGACAGAAACAGACACTGGTAACCTTTGGTGCTAGTGAGCTCTTCTGTGAGCTGGAATGGATTTCATGCTTTGTTGCAAGGCCACACTGGACATTCGGCCCATCCAGTGCTTTCTGCTCATCTGCACAGTGCAATTGTATACTGACTATTCCCTCTTTCTAGCTAAAGAGCTCTTGGACTCCTCTCAAGTGAAATAATTTAGTACTGAACCTAAGAGGCCAAAAATGTACTTCCAGATCTCTATAAGTATTTTAATCTTAATGTTATTGAATATTCATACTTCATAACCATTAGCATTACTAGATTGTGGTGTGAACCTCGAGCACCACAAGTAATGGGGTAAATTCATTAAACTAAACATTATGCATGCCTCAAAGACTTTTAAAGTAGAAATATTCTTGCCATTCCTCTGATACTCGATCTTAGATAATTATCTGTGCACTGGATTGTTGTGTTCTGTGTGGTACATGGAGAAGGCTAAATCTGACTGATTTTACTTAAAACACACACCTCAATATTATCTAACAAGCCCAGCAATATTTATAAGTATCTTTGAAAAGTTCTGGTTTTCAAACTTTTCACAAAAGAACTGGCTTTCAGTGCCAGTATTTAATAATTACCCTGCTCTGGAAAGGCACAAAACACTGTTGCAGTTGTTCAGCTGTGCTGAAAAATTCTGTCCTTTTAAGACCTGTTACGATAATAAACTGTTAGTTTTAGTTTATAGCTCCAATAAATCACTCAGTGAATAGCTGTTTTGTTAGGAAGTTAAATTGGCCTTGGCTTCATTTCAGGATATATGACTAACAACAAGCAGGGCATTAACTACCGGTCATGATCAATGATGAAGAGTTTTGTTTATGGCTGATACACTGCGTGGAAGAGTCAGCGTTCCTCTTTAGCTTAAAAATAAAGTACAGCAGGTTAAGCAATGCTCTGTAGCTTATCAATGAAAGCTTTTGAGGAAGTCTTAGCTCTTAGTTCTAACTATTTCCACCACACATCACTTCTGCCCTCATAAGGACACACATTCATTTGCTCCCACACTTTTCAAGCCTTTCTCCATTTTATAAACATTCCTACAGAACACTCATCTCTGTACACTTTGTGCACTTCAACAAACATGAATGAATTAAGGCTTTCATTGCAGCACTCCTAATAAGGTAAGGAAAGAGCACTATTTACAATTCCACGACAAGGAAAGACAATCAAGGTTAGTAAAGGTGATTTTGAGAAGTGGCTACTGACTTCAGAAAGCCTGGAGCAATGGAAAGACCAGTGCATATCTGCTTCCCTCAAAAAACTCCACAGGTCTATGAGAAATCCATGCTCTGAGTGGCCTCACTAGAAACTATCTGCTCTCTGCTATCTCCCCTTAGCCTGTCCTTTTACATTCATTTTAATCACATGTCAAGTTTGGAGTGGTTTGGGGTTTTTCTTTTACACTTGGGAAAGGGAGTATCTCCGTTCTGTGTTTTGAACAGAATGTTACTTTACATTGACCATACAAATTCAACATTAGAACTGTACTTCAGGTTTCCTGAACTTGCTCAAAGTCCAGCATAACAGTAGGACAGCTATCAGAACTCAAAGAAAACCTGTCCCAGGCAGGAATCAAACCCACTACTTATGTGGAAATGTTACATTTGAGAACTTATCCCATCAGATCTCTCTTGACAACTTTATTATCTGCAGCTTACTTGCCTTGACACCACATGTAAAATTGTAGAGTTCCCCGTGGAACAAAACTGAGTTAATCTAAATCTTCCAGGATTATTTAGCAAAGTGCCTACTTTCTGAAAATTTGCATTGAGGAAGCAAACTTAAGAAGATCTCCTCAGACATCACTGAGATCCTCCAAATGGGGCATCCTTAGATGCACTGCATGACTGAACTCTGAGAGGAAGAGAAAGATGGGACAGAAGCATCCAGTGGTCTGTTTCTGTGCCTTACCTCCACACTGAGACACACTGTGAGTTCCAGCTAATTTTTGGGTTCCAGGATTCTGAGAACTGGGGCAAGAGTAACAAGTTATTTGTCCTTCCTCATCCTTGTTAAGTTTTACTGGGGCATAAACCACACAACTTTCTCATTCCCCATCATAGTACGTTCACATACATCAACTAACAACAAGAAGGAAAATATCAGATCTAACATCTAACACTAACATTTTGTGTCTGTGGGTTCAAACCCAAATTAGGTTGCCAGCTGCTGGATTGCTAGAGAAAGAGCAAGGTGATAGAAAGACTATGGTCATACAAGTATTAGATCTGGTCAACTGCAATGTAGCAGTTTCTGTGCACTGAGAGAAGGCTGACATTAATCTGAGATCAATTAAGCTGTTCTGGAGCTACATTCCAAGTGCTTCAGGCCCCATTTCCCACTTGCACTAACTGTTCCAGGGATGCATAGTGGCAGGTCAGCAGGATGGTGGGCTATGCCTGTGACAATCCCCACAGAAGAAACACAGGGCTGAGACAGTGAAACACAGGAACTGTATAAAATCAGTATGGGCCAAAACAAAACTTTTCAATTAGATCTGAACCAACCAAATCAAATATGTTCTTTTGATTTTCCTAAAAGGTGTCAACAACACAAAGAAAACTGTGTTAAAAAAAAATAAAAGGCTAACTAGCCACCACCACCACTGTAATAGGGTGTTCAAAACCAGCTGAAAAAGCTGTGTACAGTGTGGTGGTTACAGCCATGCACTAGCTTGCAGAGAGAAAAGGATCAAGTAGGAGGACACAGGACAGGCTGCCCCAACTTTAAAGGCCATGTAACATCTCCTCAGCTCTTTCAGTACGAACTGCAGATTAAAATGAAGAATATCTGCTTGGGCAACAGCATCTTGCTGGAGAAGAAACAGGCTGAGAGAGGACCCCAGCTGGATGAGCAACAGGCTTGCTCTGTGTGCCTACATGGTTTGGGATCACAGGACACCACCACCCCAGCTGGCCACCCTCTGCCCCAAAATCACTGCTTATCACTATCAGAGCCCCAGTGTGTGGAGGGGCCTTCCAAGACAGAGCAGATGAGGGGAACACTAATTGCTTTTACATTAGGGGTGACTGGCTTATGAAGCAGCATATCTTTCTTCTGAGACACACCAAACACTTCAGGCTTTGATAGATCCTATGTGTATATGAGAAAAGAGGTTAATACACCCAGATACAGATTTAGCTATTTACAGTCTAACAAATATTCATTATTCAATGCAAATATTAGAATTACTCCAAGTGATGTCCAAGTTTTAATGCCTCAGGCTCTCAAATATATCAGTTTCTTCACATGACCACATCAAGCCAAACTTTTCAGAGTGGTAAAAGTGTCCAGACAATTTGATCCACAAACACATTCTCTGTAAAATACTCCAAGTTCTTCCTCATGTTCCACCTAGAAATGTTTCAAATAAAGGCCACTCATCTAGTAACACTGGAGTACAGAGCAGGGGTCATGTGGAAAGCCTGTTTAGAAGCTCACAGCATTCACCAGGGCCCAATTTAGCATAACAAATAGATTTAGTGTTAGATTCAATTATAGTAACATTAATTATAGGGCCATTATTTCAACACAGAAATAATCTCCCAGAAATCCATAGGACTGTGCATAAAGCTAGGATGAACCTTCTCTTAAAAAAAAACAAAAACCACAAACAAAACAAAACAAACAAAAAACCCCCCACAAAAAAAATCCACAAGAAACACCTCTAAGAAGTTTGACCTTTACTGACATCTGTTTAAATGAAACAAAAAAGAAGTTTATGAGCTTCATTTCACAAAACTGCACGGTCCCACCCGACACATGGGAAATACCCAGTCAAAACTAGATCTGAAGATTTGCAAATAATGACATTAAAACACAATTCCACTGGCTGGCTTTGCTCTTTTTTCAGAAACCTGATTGTTTTTCTCCAAATGAACAAAATAACCAATTGCCTCCAGTAGACTTCATTTCTGCAGCCACTGTCTTTGTTTATCTTCAATACCCATTAAAAACCTGGTCTAGAGTCTCACGCAGCTGTTTTAAAGAAAAAAAAAAGTGAAAGGTTTTCTGATGCAAAAACAAGAAGAAAAGGAGGGGGGGAAGAGAGGGGCCCACAGGGAACCAGGATTAACAGTTACAAAGACATTTAAAGGCTCTTCCCCTCTTTTCAACACATTAGCCTTTGAGCATTTGCTCCTATAGACAAATGCTGTAGTATCTCAGAGGCTGAGAAGGTGAACCTCATAAAGGAGGTCATGATCCACCAATTCACCATTTTCTTAAGAATGATGCCTTGACTTTATAAGGAAAATCACCAAAAAGGGATGCAAATTGATTCTGAAGCGGCATCCTTTAAGTTATTGTGTTTTAGCAGTTCACACATTTAGTTCACATGAGAGGGTTATGCATCCTGAGGATTTATGCCTTAAATCTATAACTGTCAGAGCAGGCAGGTTAGCAGAAAAATAGCATCCTTTCTCCCCATTTGATAGTTCATTTTTTCTTGTTGGATTTTCAAAAAATTCTAAAAAAAAAAAAAAAAAAAAAGAAAGGCAGCACGGTTCTCTGCTGTGTAACATGACTATTAATTATAATAAGTGCAAAGGAAGGCAGCATTTTGCTTTTCTATTTAAATCTCCCTCTCATACTTTTACAATACCAGTACCATACCACATCTAAACTTCGAAATGTCACTTTGGATGATAAGTTAATATTTTATTTGCAGGGGGCAAAACTGCTGAATGCTGAGCAAGGAGAAGCATTGACACCTCCCATGCAAGATGAAGCTGCTCATGGTTTACATCAGAGCAGTGCCTATGCCAGTGCTGCCCATGCTTGCTCTTCTCTGAAGTGACAGTTCTTTGGAAGAACCCACTTTGCAGCTACTGTGGAGCAAGGACATGCTCACATGTCCTTTTATGCAGCATTTTCAGGAAATGGTAATTCTCATTGCCTCTTTCCATCTCTCAAAGCACTGGCGTGTCTAACACGAAAAAAAAATCAAATGGAACAGGCAAGGTGTACTTTCAACTCCATAGGATCAGAGTTTTAAGCAACAGAAAAGCAGCTAAATTGCTTGTTGTTTCTTCCTCAGTGGAAAGTCCCTGAGGGCAAAAGGATCCCAACAGATATGAACTTATTATCTTCCAATATGGAGGGTTTTGGTAAACCAGTTTCTGATAAAGAATTGTTAGTATTTAAACAGCTGGTCCTTTGGCTGTTAAGTCTGTCTAAAGTCTAGCTCATACTAGAGAATGGATACTTGTAGCCAGGCTAGTGAGTGAAACTGCATTCTCCCCAAGACAAATCTCATCTCAAGGAAGCATGTAGTGTTTCCAGCATCCTCAGATAGTTCACATGCAGTCTTGAAGCACTGTCATTCAAATATGCATTTCTTTACCTGAAAATTTACTTCAGTGTGGAAAGATCATACTTCTCCTATGAGAATCCAGTTCTCTGGGAAGGTTGATGAAAGTTCTATATTGCTATATGCTTTTCCTGTGATACCCATTATTAGAGACCTACCACTGGTTGCTCCTTGGAAGCACAGGACTTCATGGAATTAATCAACTTTAATTAATCAATGCTGAATACAATTACTTATTGACACAGAACTCGCACATAAGGCAGACAAATGCAACACTTGACCCTCTAAAGCACTAGGAAATCCCAAACAGAACCATACATTGAACAGCAAACTTGAAATAAAATACACTATGCCTGTAATCAGCAGTGAATTCCCTTTTACCATCAGTAACTGTTTAAAGAACAGCAGACACACATGCACAACCATCCAGCACATTAAGAGTGATAAAATACCTTGGAAATCACATCTAATCTGCTCCTGGCGCATTTCTAAAGCTTTCCTTCTGTGCTGTGCCCTGCCACAGACAGTGGGAATTAAGACAAGAAAATCAGGAATAGTACTACCTCTCCAGAAGCGTGAAACCAAATGAAGTTTAGTTTGCTGCTGCAACTGCAGGCCAGTTATCCTACACAAAAGCTGTCAGAGCAGGTGCTGGAATTTCCCTCTTACACTGCTCAAATATAAATAATGTTTCAGACAGTGCTGTGCCAGGATAAGTCTACCACAGGAAGAACACCAGCACTAGACTGTCTGAATAAATAAATAAACCTTATCTAACCTAGCCGTACTCCCAAGTATTTGAAAACGGTGAACTAAAACCCGCATTTTACTCATTAACTGCATCACAGAAGACTTGTAAGTCCCTGTGACTTACTTTGTTCCCTCACTGCTTCCTGCTCCTCCAGCCAGACTGAGCAAAATCTCTTTGCCAAAGTCTTCTGCCTGTCTAGAGACTACATCCACCACCTGCACTGAATCCATCTGCTGACCTAGTATCTCTTGCTGTATAGTCCCTTTCTCCCCAGAACCATCAGCATATCTAGGTAAGCAGGGCCTCAGTCCTGTCCTGAAGTTCTCAAGCAGCTCTGCAAAACAATCAGATCAAAATAAAAAACCCCACCCTGACTCTTCCACACACGTCCCCGAGCAAGCTTCTTCCCCTTCTACACACTGTTCCTACTCCATTCTCTTCTCCCCAGTCTGTTTCTCAGCTCATTCTGACTGGCAGCCCAAGCAGCAGCACCAGCCCCCAGTCCTGCCCTGACCATACAGCCTGGGACAATCAGCTTTTTCTAAGGAAATGAGGCGTACGTAACAATACAGCCTCTGTGGGGACTTTTGTGTCCTCTCAGCAACTAGTGAACCGTCTGTCCAGCTCCCAGCAATCTGACAAGTGATGCAGAGAAGTTTGAAAGGCACTAATTTTCTGTACATTTAACATAAATAAGCAGGGAACATGCAAGTGGAAGGAGAGAAAACTTCTCAGCACCCCTGCAAGTGAAAGGCTGTAGTGCAAACTCCATCTCCTGTTTGATCACAGCAAATATACCCAAGGATATGGTCTGAATACTTCAGCTGAAGAAAGGAAGATGATTTAGTGATTGCACCTTGTTTGGCATGAACAAATCGAACCATAAAGCACAAGACCCACAGAGGATCTTACACTCATTTCACTGCTCAGAGCAGCACCTCTTAAGATATCCAGAGCAAACTGTGGCACCAATTCAGCAACAGAAGAGGCCCAACTTTTGCAAGCTGTTCTTTAAAACATTTGTCTTCATATGCTCAGTGACTCTGCTTTAACCATAATCAGGCTATTGTGCTCACCACACCAGTTTTCCAGGCAGGCATTCCCCAAAAGCTTCCTTTCTCTCTAAAGGCACAGAAATGCTACGTATGCTTCTCACTTGTACTGAGACATTAAACTGGTTCTGCAGCTACCTAAAAAAAATTGTGTTTCTTTGGTGTTCCAACTTCTATTTGTAACTCACATTGCCTTCTCTACCTGCAGTATTTTTAGCTTACTCATTGCTGTTTTTTCCAGATGAAAACACAAACTTCTTCAGTCATACTGTGTTCTGTACAATGGACTGAGACAGATTTTTTCAAAGTCTCCCTCCAGCATCCAACACAATAGCTTGAAAACACCCACATAAACTCATCTTGGTGAACTTTCCAAAGTTTTTCAGACTTACTGCAATGTTACAAGAAAAAAAAAAAAAATGGAAAAGAAAACTTCCAGCTTTTTCCGACAGAATTCCTGATTAATTCCCTGCTTGCTTGCACAGATGTTTTAAACAATTTTTCTGTTCTACAAATCCAAGTTTTTCTAGAGTGAGCAAAACTGGATTGGAAAATCTATTCTTAGGCCAAATGTGTTGCTGCTGGAAGACGTACTAATTCAATCTGACAAGCATTTTAAAGGCTTGCTGATCGACAATCCACCTACATGCTGCCTACCCCATGCAGCCTGAATTAGCTGTCATGGTTGTTAGCCCCTGTTAAGACGTAACATCTGACCCCTCTCCTTAACTTTTGTGCTTTGGAAGCATTTATTATGGACAGCATTATGGTGGTGCCCTCCAGTGCCATGATAATTAAGACTTTTCTCAGTACTGGCCTATAAAACCCCTATTCCCCATGAATTTATAACTCAGTCATGAAGATTCTCTGGGGCTCAGAGCTTAAGGGGCAAAGCCAACGGGAATGTATCAAATTCTGCACAGCCTTTTCTTTGGGACAAGGGAGAGATGAAACGTGCACAAGTTCAGAAACACAGTGTTACACTGAATATTAAATGTAGTCTTAAAAATAACACTGGTGATGTCAAGGCCACTGGTGCCTGACTTTATTCCCACGATTTCTACCTTTGAGCTTATTGCAGGCTGTACATCAGCTATAACAAGGTGCAATGCACTGAACCCTTATTCTACTCTGTAACACAGCAATTGCCAACAATAAACACATAGAGAGACATCTCAGTAGCACTAACAGTAACCTCTTCTTCACACACAGCCCTCCTCTCTCCTGGACGAGCATCCCATGATCCCTCCAAGCTCACCACACCTGAGCAAAACAGTAAAATGCAAGTGGAGGGTTTGTTCCTAATTCACACATAACTTACCACATCTGTTACCCAGATGCATCTGTCCCACACCACAGGACTGCTGTGGCTCTGAGGGCCTGAGAGACTTTCTGGCCACTTCGTGGTCCATGCCAGAGACACGGATGCGGAACTGGTCCCTGCTGACTGTTTTCCGCAAGGTTCGAATGGTTTTGCGGAACCTCTTTTCAGTCTTCTTCCGAGCACAGCGCACATCACATGTGTCTGAAAAGCATCAAGGGTGAAAGCTGCTATAAGTGACCGTGCACAAAAAAACCCACCCAATCCAAAACACCAACTAGTGCAAATCACTGAGAAATCACTTCTGTGCACAAGTCTGAAATCCTTAAGGACTACACCACGAGGCTGGAAGAAAATTAATCAGACTGCAAGACTTCAATCCATGGGCAGACGTTTAATCTTTGAAACTATCCTCATCCGTCACTCTTTCCGAACCATTAATTTTCAAAACAGGAGATACTTTTTGTTACCATTTTGCATACAGATAGAAGTGAAAAAATACGGAAATTAAGGAGCAAACAGCAAGAAGCTTCAAACCGCACCTTGGATTATTTTCCAACCAACCTGTCACCTCCTTCCGGCTTGTTTCAAGCTCAAAGTCCGCAGTGATAACAATTTCTCTAGTCGCTGTCAGTCTACTGAGGGGTCCATGAACTTTCTTGCCAGAGCTGCATGTTAGGTTTACATAGTGGAAGCTCTCCATTACTGAATTATGTCTCTCTGTATGAACAAAATTAAAGGATGTAGAAGCTTGGCCGGCTATGTTACTGAACATTCACCAGTGCTCAGCAAATATGTCATCATGAAGAGTTAAAGAAGAGGAAACAAAGACCTCCACATGCCAGTAAATAAAGTTTGTCCAGTTTTTCTACTGGCACACCCTAACATAGAATTGTGACTCCTGTGCGCCTACAGATGTGCTGCCAGGCTGAGACTGGGGCACTGCAGCCCGACTGAATCATCACTAGGATGGGAGCTTGGCTGCAGTGCTCAAACCACATCCCCTGGGCTTTGCTACCAGGTTCTAAGGAATTGCCTTTGCACTATGCAAAGTATCTTAAAACCATGACACTGCCTGCGTCAGGCAGGCTACTCAAGGGAAGAAATTTTGTACACATATGAAGAATGTGAACAACACATTAGCTTATAATGGTGTTTAAATTAAGTAGTGGTTGGATACACAAGACATTTGGAGACCATTTTCATGGCTTCAATGAGGAAATAATATTTAGTTAAAGAAAACACCCAGAATAAGCTTTGGTTCTGGAGTACATAACTCTTCACTGAACATCTAGGGTAGTTTCTCACTGTTACTCTGCTGCGGACAAACAATCAGACACACCGATTCATCATATTGTTTAATGACTCCTTTTCCCAGCTCCATTTATTTGATTTCATTTTTTTATATGTACTTCTCCTCATTCTCTGCTCACTTTGTAAATTCGCAGACTGTACTTTCTGATTTGGAACAGATGGAAGAGCTGACCTCACTGTGTCCATCTAGGGCTGCTGAAGTATAAAAGGAAAACAAGGGAAAAGAAGAATAACCCTCTGACAATAGAGTCAGCATAAAAGGTCAGGAGATTCTTCAATGAGGCATCAGACAGTAAGAAGCAGGTGAGAAGGGACAGATAGAAAGATAAAAAGAAAAGGAAGAAAGTAAAAGAATGAAAAGAATTTGATTTTACTGAGAATTTATTACCAGCGTTACAACAAAAAAGGAGAAGGGCTTTCCTAGCAAGACTGCAGGGATGCCACAAGGCAGTCCTGTGATCTGAAATAACTACTGCAAGAATCATGGCTGGGAAGGACTGTGATTTCATGAGGTCAGCGAAGAGCAGAAAGCCTGTAGTCCTCTGTGCCTTGCTTATGGTGTACTTCATATCTGGAAAGCATTGATAACCCCTGAGCTACGGCTCTAACCTGCTTACCTGCATTTTTATTTTCATACCTGGTATCATCTGTTCCAGACCTTCTTGAAACATCTCAGTCTTTTTCAAACTACATTTTCCTTCATTTAATTTAAAGGTTACGCTTATCTTGATGGCTGAAGCATCTTCAGGAAGAAACAATGACATGTTATTTTAAAAAAAAGGAATAGAAAACATAGATAACCCTAATGTCACATCATCGTAATGATGACATCAAAAAATATGCTGATATAAAGTGAAAAAGTAGTCATCACAGAAAACCTAAAGAGATGCCATATCCCTCCTGCTGTGAAGCTGGTTCATAACTTCAATTGGAAGAAAACGCGGTGAATTTTATTTTAAAAAAGTAAAAAGAGAAGCAGAAGAAAAATGAGAACAAGTTCAGATCTGCTATTGGGTAAATCAAATAAGGTTTAGCTGCAATCAAAGGAGATACTCCAGACCAGTTCAGCAAATAGTTTATGTCAATATAGCACCTCTTATCTGTTTAGCTCTAAATGCTTTCTAAACTTTACCGTCCAACAGCTCATTCTAAACATATTGTATCTTACGAACACTGTCCAGTCTGGATAATTAAAAAGAGGCATGACACTCCTGGTCTGGCTGTTTATTTCACTAATGATCTTTTCCTCTTTCCTTATTTTTAAGTCTTAATTTGAGTGATGCTGATTGAAGCAGCACAAGGGGAATTTTTCTGCTGCAATCATGAACGACAATCATGAGGATGAGGAAATAAAAACAGACAGAGCATAACAGAGAGTGAAAATAGGAAGTCAACAGAAACACCTTTATTTCACAGTTATCACCGAAAATAAATCAGTCAAACCATGCAACAGTAAATGTTGTGATTACCCAGCCAGCTGGAAGCATTTGTATTTTGCTGCTTTTTCTTAAGCTGAGATGACCTGCCACAGGTGAGGGTGTAGGCATCTTGTGTTCCTAACAGACAGACCAGAGAGACAGAGAGTAAAGGCATAGGCACAGTGCACAGACTGAAGACTCCTGTAGTATGAAAGATATATTTAATTTGTTGATCGGTGTCATCATCATCCTCACCTTTTTTAACAATGTTGTTCATAAAATACTCTACATTAGAGCTTGTCTTTTTCTAAGCCATTTAAAAGGTTCAGGAAGAAAAACAGCATCTGTCCCACAAGCACCAGCTGAGTCCCCATGCCATGTCCTATGGGATGGAGGGGCTGCACAGGCAAAATCCCAGACCCCACGCAGGGCTGGAATGCCTTCGCCCCATTCAGCAGTGGCTCTCACAGCCAATTAAGGAATGGCCCAGGGAGCACGGAGAATTCTGCCCTGCCCTCCCCAGCTTCAAAAAGACAGTTGTCATGAGAAGGGAATCTGAGGGTAGAGTGGTTATAAAAGACAAGGAAAGAGGGGCTTTCCTGGGACACTGTCAGGGATGTAGCCCTTTATTATCTGTAGTGAAAGAGGAAAGATCCCTGCTGATTGTCTCCTTCTTGGGGCTTCCATGACACAGGATATTTGCCCCACTTACACTCTCTACAGAATCACATGCTTGTTTTTGTTAGTTTTGACTTACCAGAAAACACCTGGACATCCGGAGAGCAGCTTAAAAAGCATCTATCACTCCCACCACTCTTAATGCAGTGCAGCAATACCTTGGGTGACATATTATCAGGCAAGGGACCTTTTGTCTCTAAATAAGATAAAACAAATACTCACAGAATTAAAACATCTACCTACACCCTGCTAATAAATTGACAAGCAGCTGCTTTTGTAGCTGGTACCTGAGAGCACCCATGCAATTAATATGCTGCTTAGGCAGAAAATCAAAGCGAAATAACATCGCTGGCAGATGACATCACATAAGCAATTTCCTTTATCATGAGCGAACCTTCTCATGCAGAGAAACCAAAGGAAATAGAAGAATGAGCTAGACAAAAAGCACAGGAAAGAAAGCATCGAAATCCCTCAAAGTATCTCCTGTTTTTGGGGTTGGTTTTTCACTTGTTTTTATGAGTTTCAACATCATTACCATCATGCCTTGCTACAAAGCAAAGCAGAATACCAGGAACAATGACTCATACCACTTAACTGGACAGACCATCGGATTTGACTGTAACCATATGGCCATCACACACATCAGGAGTAGAAATGCATTCACTAGACACCTTACCAACACAATCCTTTTTGTTCCAGTGTAACTTGTAGTTAGAGTGACACAGGCATTCATAGTCTCCCTGCGTGTTCACACACAGCTGTTGGCAACCACCGTTGTTGATGCTACATTCATTAATATCTACAGAGGAAAGGTAAAAATAGTTACAAAAAGATACTCTTCCAAAAGTTGTGTATTCTAACTCCGCTAGGTAAACATGTACACAAACACTGCTTAGTAGAGTTTGAAAAAGACTTTAGGAATGCTATCTGGACACTCACCTTGAACTAGTTTGTCTTCCTGGAAATCCTTTGATAAATTTCAAAATAGACCAAATGTTGGTGGAAGGGAAATGTTAATTGTGTCCTCAAACCTCATAATTAAACAATATCCAGCCTCAGCAATATGATAGTAAATTAACTCCAGGAAAAGGAGGTCAAATCAAATATGCATTGTACTGTGTCTGCTTAATTCTTATTTCTAATTGGTAATAAAGACAGGCAACACAGACAAGATTCATACTCATCGATCCTCCAAAGTGCTCTGATAGATACAACTACTGTGGAACATGGTTTGACTCTGTGGGCAAACATTGTGTCACCATTGTCCCTTTTGGCCAATTATCCAATTTTAGGGCCTTGTCCCGCCCAATAAATGCCAACAGGAGGAGAAACCACTGGCAACACAACATACTGCCCTTGGTGCAAGCTTGCATGCTGATGCAGAATATACCATTCACTAGTGCTGTATCCCAGGGGTCAATACCAGGGCCATTACTATTTATCCTCTTGATTAAACCTGGATGATGGGACAAGAGTTCACCCTCAGTAAGTTTGCAGATGATACAAAACTGGGAGGAGTGGCTGATACACCAGATGGTTGTGCCACTATTCATAGGGACCTTGACTGGTTGGAAAATGGGTCAATAGCAATCTCATGAATTTCAACAATGGGAAATGCAAAGTTCTATGTCTTTGCTGCTCAGATCCACCTCGATGACTGCTTCACTTGTCTCCTGTAGCTCTATGGCAATTATACATAGACCTAGAAAGCTGTCATCAAGAAACCTGTCACAAGTCCCATAAAGTTTGTGCAACTGGGGGTACCTGCTTCTACATACAGTTTTCTTAATGCTAATAACAAGTTCTTGTCACTGCTCTCCCCAACCATTCGTTCCCCCTTACAGATATCCCTGTAGGTAGCAATTTGTTAGAAAACATTGTGAAACACATTACAAAACTGATCTGAATTCAGGGGGAAATATCCTAATTAACAGAACTTAGACAGCAGGGGTAGGAATGGGCAGCAGAGGAATAATGCAGAAAGAAGGGAACATCTTAAACTAGTATTGCTGCCTAAGATACTACAAAATCAGCCCAAATCTTTGCTTTTTCATGGACCTTTTGTCAGGATGTTGCATGCAATGGCAACCTGTTATCTCCAGTATTTATTGACCTCTTCCATGGAGGTCAAAAGGTGTATATGCAGTATCCCTACCAGCTTTGACAAAGCCTATGACTGCCAGTCAATGAAGGACTTACTACAGTATGAGGATTAACATCTTCTCCCCAGGAATAAGAAAAGGCCAATTAGCAGCCAACAGCAAAATTACTGTTCCTTTGCCTCACTGGTGGCCAAAAGAAATTGAATTAATGCAGAAGAATTAATGAGAACTAACTTCTTTTTGCAAGTAGAGCACATGAACAGTGTTATTCCTTATCCAGTCAAGTTCCCCTGTTCATCAGGATACAACACAGGGATGTTGTAGCCCTGTAATCTCCTTTGCAAAGGAGGCAAAGGAGAGTAGAGGCAGAGGGTAGAACAGAACAAGCATACAGAGATCTCTGAATTGTTCCAGTTGGTAAGGTCTTGTGAAGTCAGTAAAATCTTGCCAAGAGCTTATATAAACCAAATTTAATTCCATTTAGTGTCCCAGCTATTGTTAAGTAAAATCTGGAAATTTCTCACACAAATATTCACATTTGACATGCATCAAGGTTCTGTGAACATCCTTCTCTTTCCTTGAACTGTCTTTGTAGGAAAGACATAAAAGATTCAAGAGTATTAATCTTGGCCACTGTAAATCAGTGGCACTACATCAGCTAAATTCCAATCTACACCATGTGAGGATCTGACATATGCACAAAGGCAACCTGCAGAACCATAATTCTGGAAGTTATTCAGACCTTCCTGCTCTTTAAGGCCTTTTCCACTAACTTTTCATTGAAGGCAGTGACACTTCTGCATGTGAAAATTGTATCAAATTAGGGCTTTCATATCCAAATGCAAAACCTATCAGCTTGTCCTAATAGTAACATGGTGTGAAGGTAAAATCATTTGAGCAAAGAAAGAAATAAGCAGGATTATTTCCTGCTTTTGCTGTGTCTCATTATCCTGGCAGAGAGTAAAATTTACCCCACGGGCCTCCTGCATACACCTCAGCTTGCGTCTTGCGCAGACAACAACTAGACCTGTGGCAACAGCCCTCTATCAGCAATGGCCTGCGGTGCCTTTCCATAACTCACCTCCACAATGTGTGAAGCCATAGAGAGCATATCCTTTGTTGCAAGTACACTCAAAGGTGCCTGGGTGATTGATGCACGTGTGGTCGCACGTCCGCTCGAAGGAGCATTCATCAATGTCTGCAGGTTTTAAAGGGACGCATCAGTATCTTTCAGGCTGACAAGGCAGCCCTGATGAGCTAACGGAGTTGGACGCAGAGATGTGCAGATTTATGTAAACTAAGCAAATTCTTTGAAAGCAAATAATGTAACATAACGAAATGACAACTTTTAAAAGAGCACTTAGCTTGCCAAACAAGCTTTTTCTTGGCAAACGCAGAAACTGCTGTTACATTTTTAAAATTATGTTTAAAACAAATTATTTCTCTTCTACGGGAGAAGAAAACTGCTGACAAAACTCTTATTTCATTTAGAAAAGAATTCTACAAATGAAAGTATTGCCTTTGTTTTTTTCTCCCTAAATAAAAACGAAGGCCACAACTTTAACTCCATGTGAACATACAGTGTCTGATTTAAGCCTGCTGAAAATCACCATTTTCTCCAAGAATGAACATTTATTACACCATCGAAAGAACCTAAAATTTCTGTGCTAATACATTATGCATGCCACGTAAGAATGCTGCAAGACACAAAAACTTGCACATCAACTTCACTGACACATTTCATCAATCTCGTTTCTTGAGCTTTGGTATGCTTCAAGGTATCACTTCTGAAACAGTCTAGGGAAGGTTAGAGAAGTGACAGGGACAAAAGGGAGATGCAAGTCTTTAAAATACATTTATAAACAAATTACATCTAAAAAAACCCCACAAAATATCTTGAAAATATGATATTTATATAGTAAGTTTGCTCCATATAAGTAGCTGTCCTTTGTCTGATTTATAAAGGATAAGAATACACCAAAAATGCAGGTGAAAAGTACCTTCTGATAATCAGTTCAGCTTTCTGCAATTAATCATTAATGTCAGATAGTTGCCTAGGAAATGGCATAATTCACCATTTGGCTGATTGACATTATATTGTTTCACACTGTAGCTTTTCCACAAAAACAGAGCATTTTGATATTTAAATTTTCATGCATTTAAGCAGCTTAAACAGGATTGCTAACTCTATATGTACAAACCATTATACAGCAAAGCAAATATGCTGTGCAAATCTCACAGGAGAAATCCATGTTATCTTCAAAATCAAATGTTCTATGATGTTTTAGAGAACAGTGTTTCCAGTCTGTCTCCAGGCCTATAATTTCATAGATCATGATATATTTTTCCTTTAATAATGAACTCATGGCAACAAAATGTCCTATTAAGAAAAAATAATTTCACTGCAATGGTGAATCAGTCAGTAAGATGGACAGGGGGATACTGTCTAATTTTCCCTGTAAATTATTTTAAGATCATTAAGGCAGGGGGAAGTATTAACCTCACAAAAAGCTTTTTAATATGATGCTGTCTCTGTCACTTCCTGATAATAGCTCACTGTGCCATTAAACATATCTCCTACAATAGTATCAAGCCAACTGTACTAACTCAACAGCTGTTTCAGAAGAAAAAATATCCAACACTGAGGAATGGAAATTCTGGAGTCCATTATCACCTCATCATTGTAGTAGATGTCCAAGCCACGCTGATTTGTCCTACTTTTGTTCTACTATTGTCTCTCCAGTGCACATACCTTGACAAGACTTCTCATCTGTTAATAATTTAAATCCTTTTCTGCAGCTGCAATCAAAACTGCCAACAGTGTTTTTACAGAAATGATCACAGCCTCCATTATTGGACTGGCATTCATCAATATCTGTAACAAAAAAAGCACTTCAACAAATAAACATAGTGCACTCAACATACTTCCACTGCCAGACCAAGAAAACAGTCTCATCCAGTTGGTTAGAGGAGCCCAGAAACAAAATCCAGTGAGAGTACCACAAAAGGAAGATCAGGTCCAGCTCTTAAGAAGGATCTGGCCCATTCAGTCCCAGGACAGTGTTATTTCTTCTCATTTAACATACTGCTGTCAGTTACATTTGGGTATATGTATTCATAAAAGACCATTTCCCTAAGTTCTGTTTGGAAGCACTTTGACTCCAACGCTCTCTAAAAGGTTTTAGCATTTTAAACATTCTCTCCATTTCCTCTCTGTGAGCCCAGCAGAAATCTCAGGCAGATTCCTGAGCTACCCCATCCTTTTCATGCCAATATTAGAATGAGGCCTTTATCTAATATTAATTGACTCATGCATGGGGATTTCATCATTTTTGCTTAGCAGAACAGTCTTAACATCTAATCGCTGGAAAATGTATTCTAATATCCTGTATATTCTAACAACTGTCCCTTTGCTCCTTGCCAGTACTCTCATTAGAGCCGCCTGGACCAGTATATATTTATAAAACACATCCCTATTTGCACACTGATATTTACTTGCAAACTGCTCTAATACCCATCTGACTGCAGGTAAAACAGCAGACTATTGCACTCTATACCTGTAAGCACCTGCATGCCTACTTCTCCCAGCACTGGCCTCTACTGCACCACAGGCCTTTATTACCTCTACCAAACCTCACCTGTGAAAACTGAGGCCATCTCAGCACGAGAGGTGGAAGTGGTGAGGGGGAGGGCAGAGCAGAAGAGATCCTCTGCACATGGTACAGCTGATGCGATGCAAACCACACCTCCACCCTGGCTGCAGCCCTTTCTTTGGTTAGGTTACACACACTGCCTTTCCTCTGCACGCTGGACTACCTTCATTTGGAGATTAACACCTTATAGCAAGGTGTTGGTAGGCACATGCCTACAATCATAAAACTCACCTTTACATGTCTTGCCATCAAACTGGAGTGTGAATCCCACGGGACAGCTGCAGTGAACTCCGGTCGACGTGTCCTTACACGTGCGATCGCAGCCGCCGTTATTTACTGCACACGTTTCTGGCCAACAAGATAAAGCTGAAGTTTGCTCAGGGATGTTATAATGGTAACAGGAAACATCATGAGACACGAGGCAGAGTTCCAAGCACACTGCTATTTGAACAGATTTAGTCTAGTGTACACGAGCAGCTACTAAAAACATGTGTTGGCAAAACCCCTGCCTCAGCTATTTCCAGGCTTTTTCCAGAGACTCTACAACCTAAGATACTGCCCACTGGGTATTCTTGTCCTTAAACACAAAACCCTGCTCCTTGATGATGAATCTGTTACTGTCAGTCTGTCTCCTTATGCCCACACTCAGTCCTGGCTGATCCTCTGACACTTCCCACCCACGCTCAGACAATTGCTTACACCTGGCACTAGTAAATCAATTTTCTTAAATCCCTCCCAACACACCTTCCCATCCTACCTGTGCCCCCAGTCATGGTGGATAACATCCACAATGGTGACCCATGTGCCTTTTTGCCATTTCAAACAAAGTTTGTTGGTCTAACTTCCCCCTATTCAAACTATGTCTAAATCTCACCAAACCTTTCTAGTGAACACCCTCAAAACACAGTTCTTCACATCCAGCTAAACAGAAGTAACTCATTCTTTGTCATCCATCCTCTTGTAGTCAGTCTAACAGCCTTATCACTGGCTGGACAAATGCAATTTTATATAGCACATATTGATTGAGAGAGCTGCAAAGAACATTTTTTATGTCTGCTTTCTGAAATTCTCTCTTTCTAGCTCTGTATCCTAGTTTTTTGCAGCATCAAGCATATGCCACTCATTCTCAAGTTTTGAGAACTGTATTGATTAATTCCCTTGCAGTTTCTCATCTCACATTCAGTATTGGGAGGCCTATGTCCAACCTCCAAGGGAAGACAGAGTACATCTTCTTTCTTCTTCTTTCCACAGAAATGTCTTTTTTTTTTTTTTTTTTTTTTGGAAAACCAGTATATTTATTTAGGTGTCTAAACATGGACTCAGGAGCTCAGGGCTAGCCCTACACTATTGGTAGCTTCTTTCTCAGCCTCCATGCCACTTCTGAAGTAAGTGCCAGCAAGCACAGTAATCACCCCGACTGCATGAAGAAAGGGCTTTTGAGAGGTGGACATCCACTGACCCAGCTGCCCTGAGACCACAGTGATTGTTTCTTATGCCAGTGCCTTCCCTGCAGTGACAGACTCCTAGAGACTAGCATTTTGGGCCAGATGGGAACACCTCTAGGAATAATAAGATGGCCTTGCACCCTAACGTGTCCTTCTAAATGCAATTTATCACTAGGTCCAATTCTCTTCCACACAGAAGTATACTTTCAGTTGAAGAGAAGCAGGTAAAACACTGCTTCCTCCACAATCTAGGCTAAAAAAAGGGCTAAAACTGTAGCACAGAAGGGACTGTACTGCATTCCCAGGGTGAATTAGAACCATGGAACTATACACTGCAGCACACAGACACAGCCCAAGGGCGAGTTCTTGATACTTCCCCACTGACCATCACAAACAATATGTAGTTTTTAACACATTATGGAATAATATTATTTCCTTAAGAGGGAGTGAAGCATCAAAGGCAGAAATCAGTCCAGAGCTGATGGTTACAATAAAAAAAAACAAAAAGAAAAACAAACCCACACCAATTCTTTGATCCAAAAGGTTTCAACAAACACCAGAATTATTTTGGATCAGCACTTTTACCCATAAGCAACCGTCGCTTCACCCTCTTGTCCACATCAGCTGCTGCTGTGGTGTTCCCCTCTGAAACTTCCACAGCAGCCTCTTCCCTCTCTGTAAGGAACACAAAAAAAGCCAATGAGTAAAGGTACACTGACCAGAAACCTCATCTGACTTTCAATATGTACACACATGCAAACTGCTGCATCACACGCTGAATCATCAGAGACAGACAGAACTGACTAGGCAGAAACAAGTTATTTTTATAAAGAAAGTAGCAATGAAAATCATGAAGACTCTTCAGTCAAAACCATAAGAATACTTTGCTTCTGTGGCTGCCTTACAAGTCATGTTTGCTCCAGTATTCTTAACAAAACAAAAGATGTGCCACAGATGTAGTAAACAGCAACAAGATGAAAGAACTAATTGAACTGTCATGAACTGTTCTCTTAAGAGCACACTGTCATCATCTATCATGAACAAATACAAGGACTAGCCAGTTATGTCTAAGCATTTGATTTCAATCAACAGACAACAAACTCTTCCAGAGACTGTAAGAGTTTATAAATCTTATGTACTTTCTTTACTGGATAACAGCTTTGCAAAAATTGTACATTAATTGATTTCAGAGTTCTGGTTTTAACAGATGCACTCCCTGGTTACACTCTGGCTCATGCTATACGAGAAACTGAACCTAAAATACTCTAGAGGGAAGGAAGCCTTCTTTGGTTAGTGGCAGGCCTTGTGCTTCAGAAGGACCAGTGATAATTGCAGGCTGCAATATATTAGGTAGCTACTTACGTAGAGAAGAATAAGTTGCCTGGACCCAACACTAACAGGTTTCTTAATTTTGAATTCCTTGACATTTTCTAGCCATACTATTATGAGGAGCATTAATCATGAACACACAGCAACCCCACACCACCTTAGAGTTGGTCATCAACATCAAACTACTTCCCTCCACCGTATACTGACCCAGGCAGGTTTTCCCATCCACATGCATGATGTACTTGGGGTGACATCCACAAATAGGCCCATTATCAGCATCATCACACGTATGTTGACAGCCCCCATTTCCATGATTACATGTTACTAGGAAGAAAATATATTTCACATCTCACAAGTACTTCCAGCATCTTTGAAAGACAGTGTGAAATTCTGTCGCCATTTGACCATCTACACCTTCCTAACATGCCCCCTTCCCAAGGAACTCTGCCACACTGAAGCACTCTCTTGTGGAGCTGAACTTCCTGCCATTATGAATGATGGCACAATTCCCAAACTACAGACACCATAACAATTAATAGACTGGTGTGATAGTGTCCACAAAAGGCGTTGATTCTATCTTAATTCAAATGCACACAACTTAGGTGTGTCATCCCACTTTAGCTATAACATACCAAATCCCACATCACTGCAAACAGAACACTATTTGTTCACTTTGGGAAACCACAAGCATATGCAGAATATTGCATACAAATGCAGCTCCTCTGATTCTTGGACAGTTCAAATCCTGGTCGGCATTCACAGGCAACTCCTCCTTTGGGCGTTTCTCTGCAGATGTGGGCACAGCCATGATCTTTATTCATGCAGCTCATGCCTTCTGCAAAACAGGACAAGTGCAAGAGCGTCAGCATCCTCAGCATCTCTGTGTGCAGGCAACAAAGTCAGTTCAACACACACACAGACTACAGCCTGCTACTTCTGGGAAGACTCTACAGTGTCAGGACAAGACGTTTCAGTTTACAGACAGGAAAGGCAAGAAGTCATCCTGCAAAGTCAATGGCCCCAAGGTTTCTCCTTCTGTGATCTTTTCTGTGCCCATGTTTTCACTGCGAGGTCAAAAAGCAACATCCCTAGATTTGTGCAGCCCCCACATTCTCATCTAATGCTCTCACTTTATACTGGTGTTCATAAAACCTCCTCATTTCTTTTATAAAAGTCGCAAGGCGGCCGATATCTGGCAAGATCCAAGTCTAAAGTGAAGTTCTCATTTCTCTGCTTAAAAGAGCAGCCACCAGACAAAGGAATGTTTATCCAACAGTAGCAAGAGTCATCCCAATTTCAGTTACTGGCCTTCTAAGCAGATTTCCAAAGTCATAGCCTACCTCAGCGGTGACCAAGGAGTGACCAGGCAGACGTGCAGATTGTACATGTGCTGTACGTCAATTCTCTTTTTTGTTAACCATTTTGTTTCCTTTTTTTCTGATTTCAATGAATACCACTCAAAATAAACTCACTGAGGACTATAACAGTGTTCTGTATTTCTACATACCTTCCCAACTAGACAGAATTTAGCACCAGTGCCTGCTTTAACCAAATGAAAAAGCAGTGTGACACTAGGGACTGTATTCCTTTTGCTGCACCTCCTAAAAACATTCTGTCATTTTTATCTCTGACAGTTACAAGCCGTTCATGCACAGAATGACTGCCAGAGTGTTTTGTCTGGCCTTTGCAAAACGACACAGACAATTAAACAGGGAGAAATAGTTCCTAAAACTATTGTAAAAACTTCCTTCACCTTGCCCCGTGGTTCAGTGAAATCAATGCCTTTACCATTGGCAAGATGGTCACACAATTTGTGCACACAGAACATAAAACCATAGAGCAGCTGGCTGAGTTATCAAATAGGATTATTAGACCAAATTAAAGAAAGAGTTTTTCTTTCAACAGTATACCACAGGTTTTTGATGAAGTCCTCTAATAGTGCTCCAAAACCGGGAGAGAAGACAACTGAATGGTCTCCTCAGATACACAGAGAACACACCTTTGCCATAAAATTCTCTGCCTTGGCCCATTTGGCTTTAATGAGACAAGTTACACCAAAATGCTCTTTCTCAGCGACAGCATTTCATTTGAGAAGACTAAGTGGAACATACTTTGGCTGCAAGGGCTTATCCCACATCACCTCAGTGAACTTCTACTGAGTTGAGCAGATGCACGATGAGAGGCAGAACAAAAAGGGTGACCCAATCTAAAACGGGATGGTGTGAACAATTCCACACCTTATATCTTTTTTAAACTTACACAGCCCTTTTTGCAGCCTTATTACTAAATGAAACAAACCCGCTGCATTGTCAAGCAGAGGTCAGCTCGTCACTATTATTCCACTACACTTCAATTAGGTCCCTGCTCTTCACTGCTATTCTCACCATCTAAGCACCAGCTACAGTATCCTTTCTCTATTAACACAGCTTTAAGCAACAAAAGAATGGATGTTGCAGAGCCCAGATTATTCTGCTCTACTGGCTTTTTGATTCCTTTCCCACAGTGAGGACTCTCCAGAAGTCCAACAAGACAATGAGACTTCAAATCCTGCAGCACATAGACACAGTCCAAGGAGCCCACATGAAAGCTGTCATCCATTATTGTGTCAGTCAAGGAACAGTCAACCTATGAGGCCACAAATTACCCTCATTAACACCAGTGTTTCAGGGAAAGTTCTGGTCTTAAGCATGTAATATGATTCGGTCTGTTAGCTCAGAGGCATTAGAGAGCATTAAGAGAATTAGCAGCTTAGTTTCTGTTAACAAAGTTATTCTTTTGTCTCTATTGAGCTACCAAAAAGAAAACTGTTCAAGCAGGTACTTTGGTAAAGTTCACTGACATCAGACAAACTGTTTAAATGCTCCATTTGGGATTGCTCCATTCTGAGTGAGCAGAATTCTATCAGGTCTCCACAAAAAGTTGAAACTGCACTTCCCAAACCAGGATGCATTTTAACAACAAAGTACCCATTTTATGACAAGTTACTTGACCAAACCCACCAAAATGTAGCCGACCCAAAAGGTAGTGTTACACAGAAGATACCAGCAGCCACACATTCTAGCATTTACTGTGAAGCTGTTGCTTGTTTCCAAACGTGGTGCAAGACTTCTCTCAGCCTTATTTTATAAAGCTGTTTTAAAGAGATGTCTTTAAAGTCATAAATGCTGCGGGACTACAAACTCCTTCACGGACACAGAGCCTCCCAGGTCACATTGTTCCCAAGCTGTTGCAACGGCAGACTGTGATCCAGAACCAAACCCCAAACAAATTATGGTCAAATCCCACCACATGCTTCCCAGACACACAACTCCTCTTGCACGAGACCCTGCCCAACTGACACACAAGTATCTTTGGATGGATGACCCTTGATTGCCACACTCAGCCAAGAGAGCCACATCCAGTGACTGCCTGGCCGAGAAGACCCCAAGCCAAATGAGTCCTTTCTGAAGTTCTTTCTTGACCTTTTTGAAGTTACCCAGAAAATTATCTGAGGACTCTCATCCCTGGCAAAATGCAGGCAAGAAAAGCCAGCACAGTATTTCCCTTTCAGGTCATGCTACACTAATCTATTATACGTATGATCTGTGTTTAAACCTTTCTCCTTTTTTTGGCACAGAAGATGTGGAGACAACATTCTCAATCTGCTAAGAGCATTAAGGCTCCATTTAGGGTACACTCAGACAGGGACTCAACAGGACAGTGGGAGAGGATGTATTTGTACAAAGAGTTACCAGAGATTCTCAGAGGCACCCTCTAAAAGGCAAACATTGAGGACCATTGGCACAGCCAGCAGAACAGGACATCCCAGGAACGCTTAACTCTTTTCTCATGCTTTCTACACTCGTGTTATGGCACCTTTTCCCAAAAAACTTTCCAGTTATCACTGTTCTCCACAGTCAGAAGGACTCCAAGAGCAGCAGCTGAGACGGTGCCCTGCGTACAAGCTTTCAGTCCACACAGGGATTTCAAATGTGGCTTTCCTCTTGCAGATCCCATTCACTGCCATTGATTCAGCCCAACAAGCAGATAGCTATGCCTGTGAAATACCACAAGGGAGAGCAGCAAGATTTGCCATCCACTGCAATAGCAGCCACAACATGTACTACGTATATTACGTCTGTTGTCTTTCAAATTTTTGTATTCTCTAATATGGTGCAAGTTAAACACAGAAACAAGATACATGTGCATGGCTGTCCTGCCAGATACTTTAACAGCCTCCCAAGGCTGAGAAATTCATTCTCCCATGTGTGGATGAAGAAGAGCTCGTTCAGAGCAGATAGCCAAGGAAAAAAACATAGGACTGTGCACAACTTCCCAGGACACTTTCAGTTCCTGTGATTTAAGCAGGGGCTAGGCAGAACCATCAAGAGTACCCCTGTGCTTCAGACCAACACAGTCACAACAGAAGAAAAAAAATCAACTTTAATTATGAAACTCTCCTCTAATAGCTACCTGATTTTGAGTCCCATGTCACAGTAGGTGACAAGTCACCCCGAGGAGAGTTACAGATAGACTTTGAAGGGCACATGACTTTCAGGCTCCCCCGTTAAACTGCTCCTCAGAAGGAATACAAGAGCCTCAAGCCTCTCTCTTTTTCCTATCTTAACTTTCCAGTTCAGTCTTTTCCTGTGTATTTAATGGCCAGTATTGCCACAAGGAAGGTCTCTCAGGCATTAATGTATGAACAGTCTTAATTGGGCTGGAAGACAGGGAAGGAAATATTCCAATATATTACAGATAAGAAGCAAAACTGAATAGATGGTCCAGGCAGCAGGTGCCAAAGGCTGCTTTGATCAATGCTGTGAGGTCTCAAGAGAGAACTAATAAAGTACATACACTGAACGATGCACGCACAAGGCAAAGAACAGAAGTCCTAAGCAATGAGCAGAAAAGCAGAGAACAAAGTGAGGGGAAAGATAAAACTGGGAGATTGGGCTTACAATAGGCCTGCCCATCAAAGGGAAAAAAAAGTTTTTTTTAAAAAAAGTGGGGAATCCCACAGAGTGCTTTACAGTAATGGAGGGGAGGCAGGAGGGAAGCAGTCACAGCACAATAACCTGAAAAAATTGCTTTTAAAGAAAGCAAAACAAGCAAGAAAAAGGAAATAAAGCATTTAATGCAAAAACTGTGTTTTTCTTCCTTAAGATTGGTTTTTACAAAAATATATTTTATTTAATAGCTTTTGGGGAAAAAAAAAAAAGGATCTTTTTTCCCCTCTTCATTTTTCTTCTCAAAGAAAAATCCCCAAATTTAGTGGTAATTTGGTACTATGCAAAAAAAAAAAAAGCCTTTTTTTCAAAAAAAAGGCAAGATACATTAACTGCATCTTCAAAAACAAGACAGCAGAGGTTGAATTCCATAGGTACAATTTAGGGAACAAATATTAATGACAGGGAATGTTGCTGTTGTTAGTTCAGGAGAGCAGAAGGTACTCAAGTAGCAGCAAGTATAAATAAAGAGTTGGAAGTTTTTCCTCCCTTGGCATCAGACAAGACAAGGAGATCAAGCAACCAATTTTCATCCTTAGATGCATCATCCATGAATGCACACAAACACACGTTACTGCTGGCAAGACAACATGAAGGGAAATGCCTTGTCCCATCACTGCAGCCTTCCTGCTTGTCCCCACTCCTGGCTCAGCCCCTGCAGTGGCAAGCTGGGCAACAACCTGAGGAATCATCACATCTCACCCAATCCCCTTGAGACCAAGACCAGCACCAGAGAAGCTGAGAACATGAATTCTTAAGTCAAACAAAGGATCAAGTCACTCTGTCAGATGACAGCCACCTCAGAACACTCCTCTGTGGATGGCCATAGATACCAATAAATGCTGATCTCTTCACTACGGGGATTTTTAAAGTGAGATTTGTTTATTCATGCTTTGATTCCTCTTACAGTCATGCCAGCAATAAGCCATAGATTAAAGAAAGCTTTGCAGCTTTAAATACTTCTTGCTGAGATTTTCACCATACAGTTCAATGGACAACTCCCTGATCTGAGCAACCACTTTAAAGTATTCCCTGAGGGCATCCAAAATAATTTTGTTCAATCTGATGCCTGATTAGATATCCAACACTCTCTGATCCCTCAAAGGTCGATTCATAAAGGTTTCACTCAAAACAAAGAACGTGATTTGAATACCTTTGGGGCTGACAAACGATAAATCTCTTAGCTGAAACCTAAACACTGCGCAGGGAATCTAAAAGGTACCTGAAGGTAATGCAGGTACTGTCCTGTAACTAAAGTCCATGAAAATGCTTGGAACTTGATGTCCTTCCATTTGTTGTCATTTCTTGGATCAGGACACAGCTTAGCTGCACAACAGAGCATCAAGTACACTGGGAACAGAGCAGTGCAGCCTTTAACAAGCGCAACACTGCAGACATACAGGTGGGATCAAAGAGGCAGAAGGGATGTAGAGTCTTCAAAGCCACTTAGAAGATTCTGACACACCGTTCCTTTTAAGAGCAGTGAGGACTTCAACACACTTCACAGCTTTGAAAACCTCAACCTACAAATACTTTTGAAGAGATTTTGCAGTCAGCTTCTGTCAGAAACTGCTGCCTGGTGCCCGGAGGGCAGCAGCCGGTACCTTCCGAGCGGTGGATGCAGGTATGCTGGTTGTCACTCAGGAAGAACCCTTCCTTACAGCGGCACTCGTAGCTCCCCACGGTGTTGACACAAACATGCTGGCAGCCACCGTTGTTGAACATGCACTCGTCTGTGTCTGAAAGAGAGAGGAAAAGAGAGGGATCAGCTTTGTGCTGACACCAGTACACTCGGTGTGCACACAGACAGACATCGACTCCACATGTAGCCACCCAGGCAGCTGAGACACCCCAGGCTATCCTGTTGTTGTTGTGCTGTCATCCTTGGGAAAGTACATTTTTGCTGCTGCTCTCCCCCTGTTTGGAGTTTGCCCAAGCGGTCACAGGGCTCCCAAGAAATGCTGGCCAACTAACCAGGATTGCTGCTGGCTGAGCTGAGGCAGAGTAGCCTCAGTGGAGCCAGAAACAGGGCTCTCCACCACCCACAGAAACATTCCTGCCCCTCAGTGCAGCTGGGTGGCACCATCACCCCAGAGCCTCACACAATTTCATCTAGGTTGAGCAACCATACACGAATCTGTCTTGCTCAGTGGGATGTAACTTTGGCTCCAAACCCTTCCAAGCTATAAAAGGTGTTTTACCAGAAAGCCCCCATTCTGAAGCAAAAGTAGAACAAGAAAAATAAAAATCTCAAAATAAATGTAGCTCAAAACTTATCCCCTGCTCCTTACTTTCACCCTAGCTAGAACTCACACACCACATCTGTTCATCAGAACATCGTAAGCTCAGTTTGATTTATCATCCTCCTCCTCAAGTCTAGGTCATCATCACTTATCATCAAGGCTGCTGCTATGTTGCCTCACTGCAGTCAAGGGCAAGAGCAGAAGTTCTGGAAACAGTTTTAAAGTTGATTTTGCAATATTCATAGTTTCAACAACACCAGAGAACACAAAAGGGTTTTGCTTGCAAGAGAACCAAAGAGTAGAAAAACTTCAGCTATGCCTGAACAACAGGATGCTCATCCCAATCTCCAATTCTTTGCAATTTTACCCCTTAATAAGCACAGGGGTTTTTTAACCACTATCAGCAACTAATTTTCCTACCCTAATTTTCAGAGATGCCAATTTTAACAGGAAGTAAAAATGCTCAGTCCCTTAAAAACAGTACAAAACATCACTGAGGCAAAGCATTGGTCTCATTTGCAAATTCATATGAAACATCATGTTAGCTCCCTGTTCTGTTCATTGTTCCTGGCTCATAGTACAATGTTTTTAATTTAACATTGTAGCATTTCTGGCAGAAAACAGCTGTCTTTTAAAAAAGGAGAAAGAGAGGCTTTTAGTAAGAAGCATAATATAGTATTACAACAGATTTAATGTCTACTGAAGGCAGTGAGTAAGCCAATTGGATGCAAAAGAATGTGACCTGCTGTAGAAATAGAGCGGCTGACATATCTCCATCACAAAGAAGCTGAGTATTTTAGAGTTCTACAGTGATGTGAATGTGCAAACAATCGTGAATAAACAGCCACCATGAGTCTTTAGTGCTACAGATTTGAACTCCAGCAGATGTTTCTGTCTTACAGACCTTGGATAGCTTTCAAAAAAATCATCTCTTTCCAACAAGTAATTGTCTATTTGGCTTAAACCCAGGCACACAGCAGAGATCTTCAAAAATAGGGGTGAGAGGAGGGCAACCCTGGCGTGAACAAAGTAAATAAGCAGATTAAGAGAAGATGTGATCCAATTTGCTGCATGCCAAAATATTTATTTAACATTTACATCACATCTCAAAATTGGTGTGTCAGTGGTAAAAACTTTGTTGTATGTCAATGACATTTTATTTTATTTTAGAAGTCTGCCATGCAACACTGAGCAGCTTCCCAGTAACTTAGCAGGTGGTAAATTTTGGTCTAAGTTATGTCTAGGTCTCACTGATCACAAGCAAGTCAGCTGAAGTATGCCCTAGAGGGGCTGCTGGGTACAAAATACACATATACCTTTTTGTGGCATTGTAAGAGACAATGCGTTCATTTGAAAACAGCTCTTCATGGTAACCTCAACTGAACTCCACTGTGTGTTTACACAAATGCAAAAATAAGATGGAGTTCCTATTATTTCAAATTATCAGCAGATATTTTGTTTCCCTCTCTACTTAATTTATTTAAATATTTGGAATCCAGTGACTTCATCCTCTCCTCTGCCTACACTGTAACAAGGTTAATTTGCGGGCACGCAACAGGTTCCCAGAAGGTAAACCCCAACACAACCCCACAGAATACTCCAGAGCTTTTAGGATTTGTCCCAGCAAAAAATACAGCCTAGGGATGGTCTGATCCCCCATCTGATATGCCATACATTAATGGGAAATACCCCAGTCAAGCTAACTACCTATTATAATCATGCTGTGAGAGCAAGTTTCCCTCTGACTGACATGGGCATGGAGGCATGTCCAGGCACATCCATATTGAGTGCAGCAGTAGGGAAAAACTGAGCCACCTCTGAAAAAGCAAATGGGACAGATAGCACAGGGAGGAACCACACAGGGTACCCAGCCTGGGTCCTGGAAGCAGGGCAGCTTCATCAACACAAGGCTGCGTCCCAGGGAAGTAACACCGGCAGCGCACCACACTGCCAACAGGCTGACAGCTCATACCTTTCTGTACTTCCTGTACACTGCTGCACCCCTGTGCTGGAAAATACTATCACAGCAAAGCCACAAGGTCTCGTTACCCATTTTTAAAGCTTTTCACCTGCTGGCACACAAAAAAAAAAAACAAACTATGGAGGTCTTGAGTAAAGAAAAGAAAAAGATGGTCGGACAGAGCGTGTTCATGCAGGGTCAAGGGAGTGTTGCCAGGATTGAAAACACTTCCAGAGTTGTGTACTTTGCTTCACACTAACCACCAAGGGAAACTCCAAGCATTTGGCTTAGTCCCTCTGTACTTCCATGGCCTCCATCATCTACAGCTACTGTCCATTCAAAACCATACTTTGCTTTCATTAAGTACTCAGACAGTAAGAGTGAGAAGCCCCCACATTATAGATATCTGAGAGAGAAGATTTCTAAGCCTGGAAATACAATTAACAACTGATCCTGAACCAATTTTGGAACTGAGAGGATAATGATAGCACATGTTCTTTTATATAAACTCATTTAGCATAATAACAGATGACACTTCATACGCTTAAACCCAATGCACTCAACAGAAGTATAGCATAATTATCCTCATTTATACAGGGGGAAAGAGCCACACTGAGATGGTACATCAGTACCTGGAAATCCTTTGTCCCATATGCAACATTCTCTAGCTGAGTTGATCCAGCCCAGCAGGTAGCCATGGGTGCAGCTAAAGGGTTATGTCAGCATCACCACTCACACTGCTCGTGAGCACGCTTCTTACCCAGGCAGTTGTGGCCATCATGAGCCAACATAAAGCCATCGTAGCAAGTACAGCGGTAATTTCCTGGAATGTTGAAACACTCGTGGACACAGCCTCCATTGAAGTCGTTATCACATTCATCAATGTCTAAGGAATAAAGCAAAAGTCAGTGTGATGGATGTTTGCTTGAGCGTTATAGACAGAGACACCACTGCGTAAATGTGAGCAGCAACTGCTGTCCAAAATCATCATTGTCTTGCAAATAGACTACATTTAACACACTACTGGCTGTATGTTTCTAAAGACTGACAATATGCCCTGAGATTCCCTTGCAGCTTTACCTTACAGTTTTAAGACTGCTGGTTAAACAACAAACTAATTATCAGGCCAAGCGATATGACTAGGTGAAAATCCACGCCAACTGCCTGCCTATGATTTTGTAAACAAGCAGTAAATCAGGTGAAGAAACAATGACTATTTTGATTTAAAATCATCCCCTGCATTCTAAACCGTTATTTTTAATGGCTCTATCTTTTTAGAGATACTCCATGCTGACACAGGCAGAGCACAGTGCTCCAATCACTTTACCTTCACATTTCTTCCCTTCACCAGTGTAACCCACTTTGCACATGCACTTGTACAGCTTCGGGGTGTTTTGACAAATAGCATCTGGGTGGCAGTCGTCAAGCCCCAGGGCACACTCATCCACATCTGTGAAAAGACAGCAGGTTCAGAAGGGGTGTCAGCAGGAGGAGAACAAGGCATGTCTCCTGCATACATCCCGGACGAGATGACAAGGCTGAGCACATCTTTGTGGTGTGCATGCGCATGTTGTGTGTATTTGTGAGTCAGGACAGAAACATGCAGAGACCATATCTGCACTTAAATTTAGATAATGTTCTCCCTGCATACAGATGTATTTGTGTGCAATTCAGATAAGCTCTCGTACTCATTTATAAATGATCCAAAACAATCTATTATGGGCCAGCCAGATGCTCCATGAAACTCAGCTGACAGTTTTACAGAGATTCATCAGAGATTTTTCATCTTTCTGATTAAAAAAAGACAGTTATTGAAAGAATTCTTGATCACATCCATGCATTACCTGCAGGAAGCCAAATGGTTTTTAAAGTAACAAGCGGAATTGATAGAAATGTACTTTCAAAGTCACCACCAACATGTTAAAAGACTGACTTACCATTAAAGAGATGTATAATTCAAAAATAACTTTTTTAAATACAAGAATAGTATCTGGTGAGCAGCATTGCCAAACAACCTGGCCAGTCATCACAAAGCACAGCATACTGAAGCAAAATATCCATGTGGAAACTTCAGAGCACAGGAAATGAAGGAAAAGGGAAACACCAATAGGAAGAAGTCCTGGAGATGAAGAAGTGTAAACAGAAGAAGAGGAAGAAAAGTTACAGGCAGCAGAAGACATCAGCAAAAGTTTTTCATACACCAGAAGAGAACCAAAACACAGAAAGAGAAAGATTTTTCTTCCTAAAAGGGAGAATTGTTTGAGCAACACCTCACACAGGTATAAAAATTAACTCCTAAAACAAGGAGTGGTGCATGAGTATCAGCAGAAGGTGACTACTTCAATAGTCAGCCACTTTTTATAGTGGGGATCACTTTCTAAAGGGGAATTTCAGCCAGCACTTTTCCCATTTACAATTATAGCATTCAGCCTGCCTTTTTTTTTTTCTTTCCCCCAGTCACAAAATATGCCTGTAGGTACTGCAGCAGCTGCCAAGAGCAGAAAGTGCTCACTCAGTTTTAACTCCTAATGGGGTTTGGCAGTGGGAAAACAAGGCAAAGAGCCAGTGCTAGAGCAGCAGTGCTTTTCTGGCTCTCAGGTGCACTGGGCTACAGTAGCAGTGATGGGGTCCCCAGATACTGCCACCAGAAAGCAAGAAGAAGGAAAACAGTGGAAAACAGCTGGGAAGAGCAGCAGAATCCACCTCCTCTCAAATCAAGCCATTAAAAAACACGGGAGGTGGTGAATTGAGGGAACAAGTCATGCAAGGAGGGGTGCAGGAGTGGCTGAGGAGCCTTCAGCTAGTGGGACTCAGGTAGGTGGGGCACAAGGAAAGGATGGGCAAGGAAGGACAGACAGCGGGCAGGAAGGAGCATCAGGCACAAGCACTGGCTGAGTACCCCGACACGGACAGTTGTCCCCTTCCCAGCCCGAGCCAGCGGGACACACCTGCCCTGGCAAGAGGGGTCCCAGAAAACACGCAGCAAGGAAGGGGCTTCCCTAAAAGACGTTACACAGAGATATCAACTACATCTCGTGCCAGCGGCGAGACAGCCGCTCTGCCGTCTTATTTCCACATTAACCCGCTGTGATCTGCAGCGTGCGGGAAAGAACCGCAACAAGAAGCCCCGGCACTAATGCACGCAGAGGCATGGAAAGGACGGCTAGGAAAAATCCGTAGGCACAGGGAGCGAGATTTCCCCTTGCAGTAGCAGTGTCCTGAGCCGAAGAGAGACCCTGGAGGAACGAGACTGTGAGCAAACATCGCAGCCCTCAACTTGGCAGGAGGCGGCGGAGGCTGCGGGAGAACCGCTGGGCTCGTTCCTCGGGGACCGAAGGCGGCTTCACCCGTGGCACACGCAGTTTACACCCCGTTCCCTCCGCCAAGATGCCCTGTCCCGGGACTCGTCCCACTCCCGAGGGAGAGGGAAAAGCCGGGAAAGCGGCATTCGCACCGCGGAGCCCGCAGCGCCCTGCGAGCAGCGACCCCCCCGCTCCGGGCACGGTCCCGCCGGCCCCACCTCGGGAACGGCCGCCGCTCCCCTTCCCTTCCCTTCCCACCGGCCTCCCCCTGCCCCGGGCAGCGCCACCAGACCATGAGGGGAGAGCGCCGGGAGCCCGCGGGGGGACCCGCTGAAAGGGGATGAGGCGAGCGGGCAGGGGCTGGGGGCACTCACCGGGCAGGGGCTGGGGGCACTCACGGGGCAGGGGGCACTCACGGGGCAGGGGGCACTCACGGGGCAGGGGCTGGGGGCACTCACGGGGCAGGGGCTGGGGGCACTCACCGGGTCAGGGCAGGGGACATTTACCGGGCAGGGGGCACTCACCGGGCAGGGGTAGGGGCAGCGCGGCGGGGCCGCCCGGTGCGGGCAGCAGCAGCAGCAGCAGCAGCAGCGGCAGCGCCCTCGCCCCCGTCGCGCCGCGGCGGCCGCCGGACCCCATCGATGGCGCTGCGGCGGCTGCGCTGCGGCTGCTGCTGCCGCCGCCGGGCGGGAGGAGGCGGCGGCCGAGGGAGGAGGTGTCTGCGGGCGCCCGGCCCGCCTCGCACCCACAGCGGGCGCGGGGCGGCGAGGGCTGGGCGGGCCTCCCCTGCCCTGCCCTGCCCTGCCCTGCCCCGCTACCCCCGGCACGCGAACCGCCCCATCCACCCCGCAGGAAAACCCCCTCCCTGAGCCGGCACCGGCGCTCGCACACCTGCACAGCGCCCCAAACACAGGTGTCCCGCGGAGCCGGTGCCTCCCGAAGGAGCACGGATACCTCACACGCAGGCTGCGGGTGCCAGCGGCAACTGCGCCTGAGCCGGGGCTCCCCGCTCTGCCGCGGCCCGGGAGATCATCTCCTGCAGCGGAGACAAGCCCGTGCAGAGACTCTGTGTGCCGGCACCCTGTCACAGCCCAAACGCACACAGCTCGCTCCAGCCTCACTTGTGTTTCTTCAAAAACACGGTATTACAATTTTTACTGTGTAATTACACCCCACTGCAGTGCGTGAATCCCCGTCTGAAGGCCAAACCAGAGCCCACACCTCCCACCTCCATTCCCAACTAGGGATTTCCCACAGCTGTCCCTCCTTTGGCAGGTAAAAGTGGCTCATACATTATTCACCGAAATTACAATTTCCTAAATAATGTCTGACCTTTCAGGGTGCAAGTAAAAGCAGGCAGTATTCTTTTCCAGCCCTCCCTCCCATCCCCATTTCACTGCCCTTTCTCCTTTGTTTTGTTCTGTGAGAAATACCAAGCTATTTCTAGTGGTTTATACACATTAGTAAATCTTCAGAATGAAACTTTCCCTCAGTCTTTGTCTTTGTTTCCTTAATGGCGGCTATAAATTACCACTCTCCTTTCTCACTGGAGCATCAGGCTTCATTGCTTTTGAAATGATCAAAGTTATTCTCTTTTTAAATCCAATGAGAAACAACCTATTGTGTCTCCTGGACGGTTTCAGTCTTAGTCAATCTCATCTCTAAATACATAAAGCTGCTCATTAAACACTCCAAGGATTCTCCAGCCCCACACCATACCCCAAGTGTCCCCCTACCAACAGAAAGTAATAAATGAATGAAGGCTTTCCTGACAAGTTTCCACGATCTCATGAATAAACAATCATACTTACAATGGGAATTCGCACACCCCTCAAACAGGGATACCAGTCAAGGTGTTTCTACAAACAAATTTCCCAAATGTAGAGAGAAGCCACTTCCCATCCAGGTACGCGACTTCAAGCCACCTCACAGAAAAGCTGATAACACATTTCAGGCACTTTCCAGTCAAGTTTCCTCAATGAACTTGACCAATATTAATTTAAGTAATATTTATCACTAGATTTGACAAAATACATGAAGTAGGAACAAATATGAAGACTGTAGCAGAAAAAGCAGTAAGAGACATTGAAGAGTCATACACACAAAATAACTAAAGCTTTCTGAGACACAGTAAAAGCAAAGCATTCTTCTTACTTCTGTAAACTAAAACATAAAGTGAGACATAAACATTTGGGAATGCCTGAGTTAGATCAAAAGACCTCAATGCAGCTTGGAAAACAAACAGAACAATATCAAATTTATCTTAGCTAATGAAACCATTTCTTATACATAAATCTCCAAGTGTTTTGTGAAGGATCCTGGCCATTATTTCAAATACAACACTCCTTTGTTTATGATGAAGAACTGCCATTAAAATATCTCTTTTTCTTAAAGACACAAACCAGACAATCTCAGACCTCAACTCAGATGTCTTTGTGTAGCCTTTTTAAATATTTCTATTCAACTACAGAGTCACAGGGTGCTGCTCTAGGTACTAAGATCTTTACTTGGAGAGAGTAGCTAAAAGAATTCTTAAGACTCAACTTCAGCACTAAGTTAAGTATGAGGAAAGAAAAACAAACACACCAGGGCAGTTCGACAGTAAGAGACCCCAAATAGCACCGTTTGGGGATTTTTCCAGCAATTTAAAATAAAATAAAAGTCACAAAGTTTCAGGGAGAAAAATAGCTTACTGGTAAATATCTGCAAGAATTGCACACAAATAGGGTATTTTCATACCTTATGGATCCTCAAATCAACAGCAGTGCTTTTGCTCCTTGGGATACTACACAGCATCTTAGTCTTGAACGAAATCTTCATGTCGCATGGGCCAGAGCCCCATTCAGTTCTGCTCCACAGGTGCTTTGGGGGGAGACAGGTTTGGCTGGTTGATGTTTGGAGAAAGGCTGCACCTCAGGAAACCTGTCTGCTCTTTCCAACTGTACCAGTGTGTGCCGCCACCTTACAATGTTGCAAAGCCTGGGGCTTCTTGCCATGAACACTGTCAGATCTCATTGTACCAACAGGAGCACAACCCTGCTAGGAACACTGACTGCCACTCCAAAGGAACTCTTCCATACAGGTAAGATCCCAATTTCCAAATCCCCTGCCCTCCACTATGAGTATCACTTGTAGTTGCCTCACACTGGGAGATCGAGACTAAGCCGCCACAGAGCAGCTGGATGTAAAAACTGCTCCAGAAATTGTACTCCTGATGCCCTGAGTAGAGAGGAATATTTTTCTCTGAAAATTCGGACTAAGAACTGGTTTATGCTTCATAATCCATGTTAAGTTTTATTATTTAATGATGAGCAAACATTGTCTGAAGACATCTAGATTGCCATTTCCTTTGCACTTTTGTGCATCACACTGACCCAAAATTTAACATAACTGAGTGAGCTTAATGAGTGCTTGTGACAGAAGCTGAAAATAGCTGGGATGGTCCAGGGGGGAGGTGCCAGAACAAAACCAGGAAAGGAACAGACAAGTGAGGAAATACTTTCAAGTATTTAATTATTCTGAAGCTTTGCACACACATAATGTCTCAGAGCTTCAAGTCTTACTCATCTCCAGATGTATACTGGGGTTTGAACAATTGTTTTCTTTCGAAATGAATCGCTCAGACTCCGGCACTTAGACTTCCCATCTTTGTATCCAAGGGTTTTCCAAGCTAACACATAGGCTGTTGAATTCTATGTAAAATGACATCTTCAGTAATCAGCATTCAGTTTTGCATTTTAACAGTGGCTTTCCTTGGAAGCAAAACCTGCAAAGGGCTTATCTCAGGCAGAGAGGAAATTTGAGGTTTCTCTGGTCATGAGGAGTATAGAAAACCCTCTCACATAATTTATACTTGTCTAAGTCTTTTTATGCCACTTGTAGAAAACTTTCCCCAAAACAAACATCAGATCCACCAGTGATATTTTAAATGTTGTAGACTTTGCATCTTAAAATGTCAGTGTCAATTATATGAAGAAAGGTTCCTGTTTATTGCAGAACTAAATACAGTATGTTCTATTAAAGAACATAAATCTTTCATTTAGTAGGGTGGAAAAAGGAGATACTTCACTAACTTTTACATATTTGTATTTCTTTGTGAGAACTTTCCAAGACATCACTACAACAAATGGTAACACCTCTTGACTTGTGCCTGGACCAGTTAGTCAACAGACAATCATTGGCTGTGCACCCAGAAGCTGCACAACACACTTTGCCCACTGTTCTTTTTGTTCCTTTCCCTTCGAGGAAGTCTGAAATATTCGAGGCTACCTTGATGAAGTGAATGTGCTTCTAAAGCTGCACTTACCTCACAGCTCCACGCAGGCCTCACCCACGTCCATCCCTGGAGTGCCCTGTAGAGGAATTAGGAGCAGCAGTCTAAAAAGCCCAGGGAATTGAAATGGTCTCAGTTTCCAGGTGGCAGGTTTGGCATCTCACACAGGCTCAGCAGACCTGGCAGCAGGTGCTGAGTTCATGACTGCACCACCCAAACCTGTCCAAGGATCAGGACACAAGCACCACCCCACCAGAGCACAGGTCAGGTTGAGTTCACCCTCTCAGCATCTCCCCAGTGAGCCCACAGGATGACACCATCAGTTGTTGGCAGTGCAGATCACCACCAGTTCAGGCAGACTGCTGTGGTTCCCCAAAGGGACATATTAACACTTGCTATTTTGCTTCGCTTAAAAAAAGCCTCCACCACAGACCAGGGGGTATGTGAAAAGTGAAGGAACAGAGATGCCTCCAAATTAATGATCAAACTCCTTCCGTTCTGTTTTCCTCGATGGTATAAAACATTGAGTGATGGCCTCATACAGTTTGAAACGGAGTGAACGGCAGCACATACACGTGTGTGCACTCACAGAGACCTTCCAAGATCTGCAATAGTCACTTTGCCTTCCTGTTCTCCCCGTTCCCTGATTACTGAGCAGTCATCTCTTCCACTGATGGCAGCCTGATCCACAACAACTGCTTGTGAGAAGGCTACACTGGTGCTGGGAGGGAGGCAGGCATTTAGTTGAACAGATCAGACACAAAACTGTACAAAAAAAAAGGCCTCCTGAAATAAGACACTAAAATGTCATACATACCTGCAGTCAGGCAAAGAAGAAAAGATGACTAGCCAAATTATAAGAGGCTTTTGAAAATAGCACATTAATGCTATTTTTTCATGTTAGAAGACAAATTTTATTGCAATTCAGCAAATGAGCTACACCTGTAAAACTGCTTTGTATATCCAATTCACATTTAATGTCCAATGGATTGAAATGTCACAGGAAAAATAAAAAAGGAAAACAGTACCTGTTTTTGTCATCATAATGTAAACTTCAACGCGGCCCTTAAAAAAACCAAGCCAGTGATTTCCCCATGTAGTAAAATATATAGTTTATAAGGTACTGATGCTTTATCTTAGTTTAACAGCCAATCTCTAGGTATAAAATAAAGAACTACAAAGATGTGAAGTACGTGTACAATATCTTCAAGTATTTTCAAGTATCCTATAGTATCTTGCACTACGGACAAAGATCATTTGACAATATACAGGAAAAGTTAACTCTGAATAGTTTCACTGCAGAATCTTAACATATTCATGAATTCAAAACACATAAAAAATATGGATCATCCAGCTAGTAGGTCCCATTTGAACAATTTGA